TACTTAGAACAATCATTTGCAATAACCATGTCTTTACAAAATTATTGCATTACTAATACATAGCAACATATGAGTAGTTTCTTTTCCTTGAGCAATAGCTAAAACAATTCATCTAACTCTAACAACGTTTAAGAAGCAAACAAAAATAATCAAACAATGTATCGAGCATGATAGTACGAACAGCTCTTCCCACCGATGAAGAATTTTCGTTTTTCCGTATCGAACATTGAAGAGCATCAAAGTTTAATATTCTCGGAGTCTTCCGCCGTTATTGAATTTCATCACTCTTTTCTGAATTCCACAATCCATGTCAATCATTTCACATCTAGATGAAGACAGTTTACATACGCTATAAAAATTTATATACTTGCTGACATTTAACAGTGTTTCTTCTCTAAAAAAAACTTTCCGATGTTGATGTATTAGATCAAAGATTTCCCTATTGAAACAAAAATTAACGTTTATAGGTCCATTGCAATGTTTCCTTGGAAATCTTGGCCATTATTTTAATTTTCTTATTCCACACATAGACATAAACCACTCTGGATCTACGGAAGAAATATTTCGGTGCTTGAAGAATGCAACATCTTGCCAAAGTTCTCGAACAAAACCAAGTAATATTCCACTTTCTCTACTTATCATACACTGGCTGTTCGAAACAGACACTAGTCACACTGACCTCTGTTTACAAGTGATACTGTACAAAAATTTCAATTGTGCTATTTGTTCAACTACGTTGTTTTGATTGTTTGTACTTTTTTCGTTTTCTTTTATTCAATCACTTTTACTTTGACTGATTTTTATTAAATATCCAAAAATGATTTATTTTCAGACGTCTTCTGATTAGAAATATGCATATATCACTATATCCATTTGTCGAGTTGTTAGCTGTGATAAGGGTACGGCGAAGGTGTGAATCAACTAACAATTATTCAAGAGTGATGCACAAATTGCTCCTCATATCATTGTTGATTGAACTAATGAATACAAATGTTGATCGTGTTATCTAGGACATAGCCGAAGTCTTTATTCAATATCAGTTGTAAACTCCTTGCGTTAACAGACAATTTTCTTGTACATCCGATTTTTTTGTGAAGCAGATGCTAGTTTACCTTCAAGACATTGGATTTTGTAAGAACCAGCCGTGTAGAATCTACCCGTGTGCGCCGACGACCGTCAGGGGAAATTTTTAAAAATTCCTTACATATAGGGAAATTTTCGAAGATTCAGTGACACCTAAGAAAACTTTGATATTTCCCCTCATAGGGAACTTTTTGAAATTTTCAAAATGAATCGGTTTATCTATATATACATCGGTAAAACCTTTTAACAGTCTTTTTTCTTTTCTTCTCACTAAACTTTCGAAAGCGTTATCCGTATCTTTATTGTAGTATCAGTGTCGCTTACTTTTTTTTATCCTCAACATGTATATTTTAATCTTTTTCTCCCTATCTCTTTTGTGTCTATTCATAATACAAAATACACTAGGTGTGTTCTCTTTTCTTTCTGCACCTTTTTTGATAGAATGTCACTATTTGTCGTTTTTCTTTGTTGTTATGTGCAGTTGCTATTTTGTGCAGATATGCGTACGCAATCACTATGATGACTAATTTGTGGCCATTATTAAGTGAGATAAATGATGTTTGTTTGATTTGAGTTCAGTTCAGTTTGAATTTACTTTTGAAAAATTAGTTCAAGTTTCACTCAGTTCGACTTTATCTTTAAAAAAATGGTTCGAGTTCAGTTCAATTCGAATAGTCCTAGCCCGTAAGAAGTAGCCACTTGATAGAAGGAAACTTGATTCCGGAACGACAAGAATATCATTTAGAGTCTATATCAATGTAAGTGAACAATGATTAATATGCTGGTGGACCAAAATAAACCTTTTAGTGTCAACACTTAAGTATCATCAGGTTTTTAGTGTTGTTAGTAATCTTAAAGCACTACGGGTGATGGTTTATTATAACATAGAAAAATGGACAAAATTAAAAAAGAAAAGGACAAAAGAATTATTCTGCACAGAAACTACCTATCTTCATAAATACAATTAGTGTAGATGTTATTAACAGAACAAAAGGCGGCCATACGATGATTAGATTACGCATCTAAAGCAATGGATTATTGTCATTTACAAATTGATCAATCGCGTCACATTTTTATAAATTTGTTTGTTGTTCAATCAGTGAGTATCGATTGAACTCTTCTGTGCTCGACTCAGAGAAGATCCACACCCACACCCACACCCTATTTAATTGACTTTCATAGCTGGGGAAATTTTTCGCAAAAATTTTACCGTCGAGGGAAATTTTTCATTTTACCGGCAGATTCTGCACGTCTGGTAAGAACTGAAAGTAGACTATCAAGAGAGTATGACTAAATCATCAAACTAATATTGCTGATTGTTTTTTTAGTTTGCAAATCAGTTGTTCACAATTAAACTACTTCACTTCAATCAAAGTAGATTTTCGTAGATTCAACGTCATTCTGATATTCGAATTATATAAAGCTTTGTATTAGTGTTCGAATCAAATTAAGAATAGAAGGAAAATGTTGAAAATAATAGCAGTGTAATTCTTTATGGTTCATTCATCAAAATGAAACGAATTGATTCAAAAGATACTTATTTATAGTGGACAAAAACCAAGTATGAAATTCGATAATGAATTGGTATAGTTGATTTATATGCCACAAAGAATATCTTGTTCAAACTCAACGTATTCATTCCCATCATTTAGTCACAAAAGATTTGGTTGATCGTTCTTATTAGTGATTACTTCTGAAAATATACAGGGAATATGTGTTTTTCATTTCATGAAGATTATTATTCCGAACCTACTTGTTGTAGACCTTCTAAGAATCAAAATATAAAGAATTTTCCCTCGAAAGCTTGTTATTCTATGTTTGAGAGAATATTCATAATTCTTAATTCATCAAAAGAAGAAATAATCTACATCGTTGTTTTCACTGAGTTATTTCGAGACGATTTTTTTTCATCGTTTGATTCTCATATTGCAAATTCAGCACAAAAATAATATCATTGAAGAACAAACGAAATATCTCCCAATTATTTTTTTTTCCAATACATCGTTAGTAAGAAGAGTACTCTTAGAATAATACACCCGACAAAACTTAACATCTTGGTACAATGTCCAACAACACTTTTTTTTTCTAAAGAATAAGATTTGTCGCTGACAACATTTAACATCCTCAATAGCTAAATATCTGAGAAAAAAAATTAAATTTTTCTTGTCAAACTTATTTAAGTCAATTGTTTGTATTGAAGTTTGAATAGTATAGATAGAGTTCATTCACAGAAAAATGTACCACTAGCATAGTTATTAATACCAACCTAATTTCAATGAATAAAGTTGAATGCGAAGAAATAGTTTATAGAAAAATAGCAGTTGAACATATATTTAGTGTATTTTTTGTGTCTGCTTCGAAAAATGCCTAACAAGGTTTTTCTGGAAAAGAAATACGTTCTCACGATCTGAAGAAATACTTGATAGAATAAATCTCGGTGTGTATTCCTGAAGGTACGTTTTTCTTCAATTATGAATGTGCTATTTTATGATAAAAATGTTTTTGAATTTCCAGAAGACTATGCAAAGGCAAAGAGGCATTTTAAATAGTACACAACGGAATTTTACCGAATAAGTTTCTATTTTAGAGAAAATAAATTCAATTAAAATAATTACTCCATAATTTAGTCCCTTGTCTTTTTTTTGTCTTCCAATAGCAGTTTGCCAGTTTAGTACTTGCTTTCCAATGCCATAATGACTTTTTAACTGGATTCATTTTTTCCCATATTCATGTGAAGGACCAGAGGTGAAAATTTGATTGGAAAAAAATTTTGAAACATTCATAAGTCGATTCAATCTTTTGTGCTGATTCCAAATATGATATTTTTGCTTGAAAATCATTTCGAAGACCGTACGAATTAGTTTGTTTTTTACTTAAAAAATTCAATCGATCGTACAATGAACTAAGTGTGAAAGATATTTCATTATCACAATAATTAAACAACAAATAGTATGCGCATGAGTATTTTAGATTGAAAATATTATTTTAAGTGAACAATTCTATTATGAGAATAACCTTGAATCACTCTTGACCTTTATTTATTCTGTATGAAGTGAACATTCACACTGCTGACTAGTAATCAATAACTAATTGCTTCTTTGATATGTCCGTGAAGAAAAACCTTGCCCTCACAATTACGATAGAATCAAAATGATGAGAAACTCATAATTTTTTATTCTATATATAACTCAATCAAATTGAACCTTGAAAATTCAAATGGATAAAAATGTATTCTTATGCATTTTTGTTCTTTCAAAAAGATGTACGTTCTCTCCAAAAGACCTTGATTGGTTCAAATCAATCGGTATACATAAAAATAGATAGATGAATCATCAATTTATGGTTTATGAATTGATATTCGTATGTATGATACATTATTAACTAAACCTTCTTATGTCATCTTATATATTTTCATCTTTTTTTTATGTCCCTTTACACTGCGTTAAAGAACAAAAAAAAAAAACACACACATGCCCATATATGTTTTGCTTGGTTTTTTTAAACAATTAACCGTGAATAAATAAGTGATGACGTTAGTACAATGTTCGATAAACATTGAAATAATACTGATATATGTGTTATGTTAAATAGCATGTTAAGTCAATTATTATCTCGTTGGCTTAGATTTTATGCAAATCGACAATGGTAAGTAATGACCAAAAAAAAAGCGAAGAATATATAATATTAGTATCTTTTATCTATACGGATGATTAAACACACGTGTCGACTCAAAACAATATTTACTCATGAGGTAGAATTGGCTACTATTGAATAGAAAAAAAAAAGTTATCAATAGATGCTACAGCGATTTTGTAACAATATGATTGGTGAAAATGTTTTTTTTTTCAATTTCTTTTAGTGAATATGTTTCTAATGAAAATACTCTTCGTAATTGACCTATCTATCGGATTTTCATCATGTTAAAAAAAGAAAATGTTGCTACTTCATTTGATAATATACGACGATCAATATCTGGCGATAAACTTCATCGAGTGAATATTTTTATTTTTTTTTTTAGAATAAAAAAATTACAATGAAATAAAAATTTCGTTTTTTTTTTTTTTTGTTTATATTGATCAGAGAAATCCAATTACTGTTCGACAAGAAATTCAATCATTCGACGATGTTATACTTGAAACAACGCTTTCTGATGTACAATTAAATGAATTACCGGGATTACAAAATACAGGTAGATTTTTTTACTTTTTTTTTAAATAAAATTTTGTATTTTTAATATTCAAACAGAAGAATGGAAACGTATTGCTACTCGATCTTTTCAAGCACCATCTCCACTCTCTCATAAATATGATCAAACAAAAGTTTCAACAGTTGAACTACAAAATGAACAAACGCAAGATGTATTAGAATCCTATCGTCAAACACAGGATACAGAAAATGAAGGCAATAAATCCACTCTCGGTTCAGCTCTATGGCGTACACCAGGTCGTCGAATATTATTTATGTTATCAATCATTGCTATTATAGTAGCCATTATAGTTGCGGTTGTTGTTGCAGTTGTCTTAGGTAATATTTCCAAGAAAAGTAATGAGAAAAAAAGAATTAAAATTGATTTTTATTATAGTTCGAAAACCTAGTCAAATAATAACGGATTATTATTCGGGTTATATACTTGTTCGAGCTCGTTTTGATCCTCTACTATTATCTTCATCATCAACATTAACTCTTAATTATCGGCGAGAGTTTTGTTCATTAGTAAGTTTAAATATTTTTAAAAATTATATCTTAAAAACAGATGAAAATAATTTTCTTTTCGTTCATAATTATTTGACTTTGTGAAACATTGTTGTGAAAGTTTTTAGTTTATAATGAATAAATCTATAGATGAAAAACGAAATACAATAATAGTAGAGCATTCGAGATTTTTTTTAGCATAATCGCCAATTATTATTGTTTTCATTTTTAGGGGCGTAACTAGGATTTTGACTAAGGTGAAAGGACTTAACAAGACCGAGCTGTTAGGTGGATGAGGCTCACAAGGAAATGTTTCGAAGTGTTCAATCACTTTTAAACAGGGATTATTTGTATCATGTAGACTCTAATAAGCTATAAATACTCTGAAAAGAGTTCGACTAAATAACTTATTATTGTCGAGATACTTTATTTATTAACACAATGCTGTGCTTCCCCATTCAGATTTGAAACTTTGCATAGAGACACGCCGTAACGAGAATAATTTATTGTAAAAGTTTCAGACTTTTTGATCGCTTTCATCATTAAAATGTGACTATGATAAAAGCATTCTTTTTTTAGCGTCATTCATATACAACGAAAAAGTCCAATTTTCTTATTTAAGAATAGACACAATCAAAATATTTCAAACTTTCACAATAAGCTATACTCATTAAGAGCTTACAAACGACAGTAATTAGCTAGTAGTCCGTAATCTTTTCTAGGTATTCATAGCACATTAGAATCTACATGATGCACATAGTTCCAATTCAAAAGCGATTTGACACTTACAGATGTTCTCTCGTCAATTCTCCTCCGCTTGGTTAAGCCTAAAAATGGACAAGTCAAATGAACAATTGTATATCAAAATTCACATTACGTAAAGTTCTAGTTTTTTGTGCTAATATGAAAATTCTGTTCGTTAGTAAAACTTGAACATAATTATTAATTGACTATAATACTTGAAACAAATGCTACGAATGATGAACAATTCTCAGTACCGAAGCACAAAAGATGTTTTCTTACCAGTAAACTCTTCCAACTGATAACTTCTGTTCAAGATTATATTTGAATAATTGTTAGAACCTACATTGCAGCTAAAAGTTCAAAGATAATATATGCTAGTAGTGCTTTCTTCTCGAATTATAATCATTTTACTGAATTTTTAGCCTATTGTAAGATATTATGAGGAAAAGTGAATCAAGGAATTTCAGTTTAAAATTTTAAATACTCAAAAAAAAGAAACTAGATTTACTTGAATCTTTCAGAGCACCGACAGCAGTTTTGTAACTTCCTTATCTTCACACAGGAGTATCCGATTTTGCTAAAACTTCTTGTAATATCTTACAATATGTTAAAAATTCAGTAAAACGATCATAACTTAATAATGAAGCACTAATAGCACGTATCCTTTTGCGAACTTTTATCTACAAACATGTGCCCTAACAATCATTGAAATATGAGTTTGAACAGAGCATTATTAAGAACCAAAAACCAATTACTAATACTGTATGTATCAAAGATTTTCAGTGAATTGATCGATCAGTAAATTATTAAAATTGAAAAAAAAAATTCAAGTCAATGATGTGAGACTTGTGTGTAGAAAAAAAACTGATTTGCTCATCTGCGATTACATAACTACTTGTTTTTCCTGTGATCGTTTTGATCGATATTTAAATCGAATTTGTCAAGGACAAAAATAAATCTCTATTCTTTCGTTTTATCAAATGTATTATTCCAGTCGAATAACTAGACAAATTAGAAAGCTCATTACAAGATCAACGAAAAAATCGATTATATAATTTTTCTCAATTATTTTTTCTGCTTGTTTTCTTTTAAACATAATTAATAAAATCATATTAGTTCAGTCTTTTCTATTTTAGATCGGCAAAGCATTAATTGATACAAAAACTAAATATGCCATATTTTATTCTTCTTGTCATATAGATAATTTTCGTAATGGAAGTATAATAGGTGATTTTATACTTGGTTTTACACGTTATCAAAATGTAACACGACTTAATGCATTTCTTAATCGTACATTAATTCATCAACAATTATTTGGTGGTACTGTTTTATCAATTGTATTTAATTCAACTATAATTGAAGATACTAACAGTAGTGATTATAGTGCTGATTATGATGTAACAGACCTGATAAATACATCAATATCGAACCAAGATATATTAAGTTCTTCGAATGATAAATTAAGTCAAAACATGGTTGTTATTAGTTCAAATAGTCAAGACCTAGAAATAACTGAGGAAGGTTTGTCGATAAATAGAAAACATACTACGACTAATAATAATATTCTATCAAATAATACTAATCAAAATTATAAACGTATTTTGATATTGATTCATGAAAATTGGAAACATTTTTGTTTTTATTAATGAGATACTTATTTCATCATCCCATTTAACAACTTATTTTAATTGTATCTACTTTACATTCGTTTTTTGGGAAAACATAATTATTGATGTGTATCGAAATTCAAAAAAAAAAAACACTTTCCTATAGATAATATTATCTGATATGGTCAATTAAATTTTATTATATAATATTTACAAATAGTCTTAATACTAATAGAAGTTTTCAATAAGTTGATATCATAAAAGCAGAAAAGGGAATAATTAACACCTCTATATACTTTTCTGAATGTCAGTATTTCAATATTCTCATTGATATTTATTTATCCCTAAATTTTTCTTAGCTTTTTATATTCATATGTTTAAAATTATCAATTTTAGAATATTTGACAAGTATATCAACATCAGCTACTGAACAATCTAAACAACTCGATAAACAACAAACACGGATTGAACAGCATTTATTACAAAATAAATTAGTATTACCCAAACAAGATTACAATACTGATCAGCCATTATATAATGATAAGTCAAGTCTTTCTCTTACTACAGTATCATATCATTGGAGTTTACTTGATACTCTTACTGAAATTCATCATAGTTCTGTGACAAAACTTTATGAACAGAAATTTACGGATAGAGAACCTATTAACATCGAATAAAAATCTGACAATATCGTTACCTATAAAAATAAAAATGAAACATTTCTCAATATTTGGCAATCATTTCGACATGGTTAAATCTTCTAAACGCTTAAAATCTTCAATTTATCGAATAAGCCATTGTTAAATGGTCGAACACGAAAAAATATTCAATAAAGTTACATGTATATTTTATTAAGACTGAATAGATCGACCCGTATTACAGGATAATATTAATTATCATAAACAAGCATCAAATCATTCAAGTTTGCAATCAATTATAAACAAACAATAAAAAAACCAATCCTTGTCAAATATTGAACAACAAACTCAGTGACTGAATAATAAACATATCTCTATTAAACGCAAAACTTTGAATATATTGAAATTTAATAATTAGTTATTTCATTTAACAAATAATTAATGAATGACATTTGTGTAAAATTAAATAAAATTTAAAAAAAAGAACAATACATCGACTGATTTGAATCTCATAAGTTGACATAAGGAGTTTCTTTTATGACAATTGAACAGAAAAAAAGAATTTAGAAATCAATTGTAAAATTTGCAAATCATTGAATTAAATGGCATTGACTTTGTTAGTTTAGACAACTTATATGACATCGTTTAAAATATAGTTCAACGAAATTATAGAGACAATACTTATTCTACATTCAATGTCATTTCGAAAAAAAAAAGAATTTAATCTCTGTCATTTATTTTTGTTTGGACTCGTATGAATTAGAAATATGAATAGGCTAAGCCGAGTCAAAAGTTATAAGAAATAAATTTCGATCTGAAAATTGAAACTGAGAAATATAAAAAAATAAAAGATTTTCACGGAGAATAGGATCTAACTCGAAACGAACTGCTCACATGTCTAAATGTTCTTATATCTTTTTAATTATTTTATGACCGATTTTTCAGGAAAACATTTTTAATATATACAATACTAGATAGAATTTTTTAAATGATTTTATTTTAAGTATAACTCTGTCAAATAACTGTCTTCTTAAGGATGGTCTATGTCAAAATTACAATCAATGTTAATATTATATGAACAGAAAATTTCATGCCTGGATATCGAGTCATAGTGAATTCAGTGTCATTAAAGTTGAAGGCAACCTAGCTCAAAAAATTGATCTTAGGCTAGGTACATTCAAATCACATGAAATTCTTACGCTGTGTTAGAGCTGTGGTTGAGAGGCTATAGTAATTATTAATATATAATAGTAACAAAATTTATTTACAAAAAAAAAAAAATACTCTGTCATGTCCTGCATCGTGACATGCTCTTTCAAACAAATAAAAAAGTAATTTACTATAATGAAGTTCTCTCGAGAATTGTGAGATGCGCAATCAAAAAAACATGTATAAACAACGAAAGATATTTCTCGTTTTTTTCTGAATACAACATATTTTTCTAGTAGAAAATGAAGGAAGTTTTTATAAGAAACAAGATGTCTAATAAAAGAAAAAAGATCAACCATCGAGCTGTTTTTTTTCATACATTTATCGTAGTTTTTATTTTTGTCATTGTTGTGCGAAGCTGTTTAAAAAAAGAGTAGAAGACGAGTAATAAGTCACTTTTCTTTTACACCATCTTTTGATATGTTCAACATTCTTTCGAAAGAAAACTTACTTATTATGGAAAAATGCTAAACAGTTTATATGAATATTGTCTCTCTTAATACATACATATATATTATGTCATCGATAAGTTTTATTTACCAAAATCTAACTTGACCTTCTATTCTTTTCATTCAAATAGATTCAGTTTCCTTTTTTTTAAACAACCATGAATAGTAATAAATCAATTGAAAGATCGTCCAGAAAATTTTGTTCAGTATTGTTATACATTTTTTAAAATGCATAAGTGTAAGTCAATTGAAGTATATATTATTGATATGTACGAAAAGTGATGTTCTTATTCATTTCATCGTTGACTGAAAAAGTTAATAAAACTATAAAATGCAATGAAGAAAAAAAGAAGCATGAGTACTCATAAATAGCTACTTTAACTTGATAAAATCATTTGAATATTTTAATATTCTATGAAAATAAAATTGTCTAAATATTTTTATTGAAATTAAAATTATTTGAATGATATAATTAACAAAATTTTTGTTATTTAAGATTAACTCAATTATTAATAACGAAACAAAAATAGAAGTAAATTATATTTTTATTAACAAGGTCAGTGTAATAATAAACCCACCTGTTCTTCACGTAGAACAAAAAAGAAAAGTATTATGTTATTTTTTTTAAATATTTTCAATCAAATGCTTTTACAATTGATTCTATGTGTGAAATACAGCAGACATGCGAAATGTTTTCATATTTTTTTTTTTTTTCTATAAATTTAACCATTAAATATGATTAACAATAGATCATTGGATATAGTGTGAAAAGCAATAGAAAATTATATTTAATACATTAAAATTATTCATATTATATTTAATGCTAATTTTTTTATTAAACAACAAAAAATAAATTTTCACATAGAAATATTTTTTTTTTCTGTTTATTTATTCCTAATAATTTATTTTCTTTTTCGAATAAACAAAATGAACGCAAAGAACAACAACATCTCATTCTAGTCCTTTTCTACTCCCACTCGTTCCATAGAACGACATTCATCGTTTGTTCGTTGTGGAAAAAAAATAACAGAACTAGCAGCAATAACAATAGATGTTGATGACGAGTGGCATGCACGCAAAAGGGAATGCATCTAGTATTTTTAACGTTCTGAACACATAACAGAACGGCAAAAAAAAAGAGAAGAAAAAAAAGGGTATATAACCACTAGTTTTTTTTTTTCAGAATGATCTTCTACCATTATTGTCGATGCTATTTCCCCTACCATTTCTACCGCTACTACTGTTGTCGTCGACGTCGATAAAACGGAAAATGGAAATGAGAAACTCACATTCCTTATCTTTGATGATAGAACCACAAGACCCAAAAGAAACATTCCATCTCTGATAGTCATAAACTATAACGAGATATTACATCAACATGTTTTATTAGACAAAAAAAATTGATCTAACACATCTTATATTGAACTATACCAAATGGCATTCAGTAGTCAACAGACATTTCAACAACAACTTTGGTCAGATCATATTTAAGTAAATATCTCTTTTTTTTTTCTCAGAATAAGCTTTTCTCATATATAAAATCGATTGAATTTGCTTATTCGTTTTCTTTTACGAGAGAAAAAAAAATAAGGATTAACTTTTTTGTTTTTTTTCTTTTGTTTTTATAATAAAATAATTAAACTAATTTAAATAGTTCTGAGTATTATGAATAAAAAAATCGAAAAACATGCACTTGGCTATATATTTTTTTTTCTTTTGTTAAATATTTTTGATATCGATCGCAAATTTTTCATGAATATTTGCAAGAACGTGCATTTGTGCGTCGTTAACGTAAAGGTTCTTATTGCGTATAAAGCTGCTAACGTGGTTTGTTCCTTTCTATTCTTTCTTTCTTTTTTTTCTTCTTATATAGGTTGGTGTCTCAGAAAAAAAAACAGATCATGTCCATATAGAACAAATAGAATCATAATTATAGTTTTCTTTTTAAAATTATTCTACATGACTAAATCATTCTATTAGTCAAAGTAATAATTATGACAACTCGAGTGTATTCTTTGTACTGCAACAATTTAAAAATAATTAAATTGTTCTAATTATTATTATTTTTTGAAAAACATTCTATCAATGAAAATCTTGCATAGAGCTATTCATTTTCAATATATTTTGTCATCACTCACATTTAGTTTTATCTGTATATTTTATAATATTATGTATTTATTTAAGACTTTATCCTGACTTTTATCGAAATGATTTTTTTTTTTGTAATATGATGATTTTTTCTTAAACGAGAATATATGCTATGAAAATCATCAACATTATCAATTTTTCTCTTTTCTAAATTTCCGTGAATGATCTAACACAATATACATATAGACATCTCACAATCGATTAGAACGTTATTCACATTTAAAATGTGTTAGAGTCTATCGTTGACCGTATGTGTATATTATATGCACAGCTGTTTCTTTTTCTCATCGCTTCTCAATCACAAATGCCATCGTACACCTTTTTTATTCGTCTCTCAAGACGTTTCTCTTTCTTGTTTTTATTTGATATTAAATTGAATTTCTTACTTCTTTTTTTTCTCCAAATAGAATCATTAAATATAAATGAGAATAAGGCATCGATTAATCATCATTAATATAAAAAAAAATAACACAGAGCCTAGGTGTATGTGTATATGTAGATTTACAAAAAGAAAAAATTTTATGGCGTCATATGTGCACCTGCTTCAATTCACTTTAGTATGATTAGTACTTTATCTTTTAAAAACTATTTCTTTTTTGTAGAAAGTCAGTTTCAAGCATTCATTTGATATCGACGAAATATATCTATTACGAATACAAGTTTAACAATGAGTGACGAAAATCGTGATCCATCTTCAAGTCCTTTACAAACAAAAATACGTCCAAAACCAGTTGATGCAAAATCAGCAGCTGCTTCATCATTAGTATCATCATCAGATAGTCCTAAATCAGCAACAATAACTAATGTATCACAACGATTACCTTCAACTTCTGTTGAAGTATCTGTTGGTGATATTTTATCAACTGATGATAAACGCGCATCAGTTAGTATACGTAAACAACAGCCACGTTATTCATCATCATCTTGTTCATCATCAGAATATGGTGATATAGCACAAAGTACATTTACAGCAACAAATAAAATGGATTTAGGTGAAGCAACACGTGAATTAACACGTTTATTACATATCGGTAATGATAATACACCAAATGAAGTACATTTAAATCCTGATGCACCAGATTTTACACCAATTGATTTTTCTCCAACATATCGTTCAGAATTGGCACCAGCACATTTACGTCGACGTGCAACACAAGTTGATCATTATCATTATCGTCATTTACGTTCACGTTATTATTCGGAATCATATCCAGCAATACCAATAAGTAATTCTCCAATACGGCCATTACTTTCACTTGTGCCACAACAATTCCCATATAATCGTCAACCATGGAATACAACAAATTCACCATCAAATTCTTGGTGGCAACAAGAATATAATAATTCACCAAATTCAACATCATCTTATCATTCCAAACCGGCATATTCACCTTATTCACCTTTAATGCCACCATTAACTGATGATAGTCTTTATCCAAATAGACATTCATCTAAACGACAACGAGTACATTCAAGTCGAACTTTTGTTTTTCCAAATCAAACAGCAACCCAGAGAAAACGTTCATATTCAGGTCCTGAAACACCTTTACAAACACCACCAACACATCTAAATGGTATTCATTCATTAACGAAAATAATGATTGATATTTTACGAATGATTGAACCATTACCAATAATAGAAGAACAAAAACAAAAACATGACTCAACATCATCAACTTCAAATATGTCTTCTCAACAACAACAACAACAACAACAGAAATATCGACGATCATCAAATTCTCATCATCAAAGACGTTTACAACAACAAGAACAACCACGTAATGAATCTATTGATACAGAAGATGTTTTTGTTAATGATGAAATTCCAACAATAACAGCATCGATTAAAAACCAATCAGGTAGTATATTCAAGATATTATTCAATAATTGATTAATTAAATTTATTTTTTTCTCGTGAGATTATTTTTATAATTAAATCTATAATAATTAGACATGAAGTTTTTCTTGAGCAGTCCTTTAACTAGAGTAAATATTATTTAAGTATATTTTTTTCTTCGTTTTCTTCGATTAAGTACCATTAACCTATCTATCGTTTACTTTATTCTGCTTCAATAAGATTGCAACCAATAGTCTAAAACATTGACCAATATCATATATCCATATGTGCCTTGTGTTTTCTCTTACTAACCTATGAAAATAATTGTTTTTCTTACATCATATATACGTTTGATTACACCCTTAAATAACTTTCATAAATGCCACAAAAAAATTTTGCATTGACTACTAATTATAAATTATTATCGAAAATAATCACCATAGAATTATCAGATAGTCTTTAGTTTCATGATATGAATATCAAACAGAACATAAAAATCAAAAAAAAAAAAAGCATACCAAAATAGTTACATGTCTATCAATCGACATTCATCGATAATATGCTTGTCATCAACAGTGTCCTTTGCTATTCATTCAGTCGAAAACGCAAAGAAGTATAACACATAGTATTTTCATTAACTATTTTATACTATTCATAGAAAATATCGTATTTCATCCTATTAAATTTACATGTGTATACATCTTTTTTTCTTGTATAGGGTTCAATATCTTTTCATAGTATAATCTATTTTATAATTAGAAGTTATGAATACATGAATAGAAGAAGATTATTGACAAATAGAATTCAATATTGATATATAATAGTAGTCTATTTATCAAGATAAAGAATAGTTACTACAATCGATTATGTCATCAATCAAGTGCTTATTACTTGAAAAAACTTGAGATGAAAATATATTACACCAGTCAATTGTTGTCCTTGTTCACAAAGACTCCTAAATATATGTATACTTATATATGAGCGAATCGTATTTTTGTTGTACAATTGGCAAAAAAAAATGAAAGTGTATTGAGCAGAATTTTAAGACGTGCATATTATTCAGCATCGTTTATTTAGTATAAGGTGAAATTTTCCCAACTACCACATGCCAGGAAGCCGAGATATTTCTGAATCCATATATATTAAGATAGTTCCAATATTGTCAATGTTAACAGGTTTTCGTTTTATTTCTATCAAAACGCTTTTTTTCTGCTCATCACGGGTATTCTAATAACTTGGAATGAATAGGTCATCAATTAGGAGACAATGAGTATTGTTTATTTGTATTTCATCAATAATATAATATCGTAATTCATGAGGCTATAGCCAAGTGTCTATTTAAGTCAGTCGATGTCGAAAAACTCGTAAAAAGCGTTTCTCTACATAAAAACAAAAAAAATGTTACTCTACATTTCGTCGTATAATGCAAAGTTTTTTAGGAAGAATTAATTGAATCACGCTGAAATTTTTATCAAAGGTACAAGTTTTTATGCTCTCTCTTATGTGCAAATTTCAGCGAGATCGGTTCAATCTATCTGGAGATAAACCTAAAATAATTTTCAAAATGTTACTCTACAAAGTGAGTGAAAAATCGAATTTTGAAAAAGTTTGCTTGCTTTTCTCGAAAATAATATCGAGAAAGCTTAAACGTTTTTTGACCATTTGGTTACTTGAAAAGAGCTCTTTCCTTTGAAGGAGTTCCTGGATTCCTAGCTGCGTTCCTTCGTCGACTAGAAAAGGTTTTGTGTTACTCTACATAAAAGAGAAAAAGTGTTTGTAAAAGTGTTTTGGTCTTGAACGAGCAAGAAACAAATAACAATTATATCAACGAATCATGTATTTGAATAGCTCGTCAAACGCTGAATAAAACAAGGGTATTACTGTTTTTTGCTTTTTTCTTTTCTTCTTGAGGAAATCTATTTTTTGTACGGTGACTCTTTGAAAAAACCTATATTTTTAATATTTTGCGTCTCTATCTCGAAGAGTTATTGAGCAATCGGACCGATATTTTCTGTGGTAGTGCGATACATATGAGTGAGAAAAACAAACAAAAAACTTCGGGAATCAGACAGCAGGAAATGGAGTTATAGGGAAAATACTTCAAAAATATAATTGTACAATAAAAATACGATTCGCTCATATATCTTCACATCTTGATACTGAAATAAACGATAGTGGTGTCAAAAGAAATAATCAAATACACGAAAGAAAAAAAAACGCATCGAAGCGTGAAACTAGACGCGATATACGTAACCAAATGTATTGTGTCAATTCTGATTATTACTTTCGGATTTGTTTTATCCCTTTCTTTTTGATAATAATTAGAAATTACATAAAATTTCTTATTTTATTTTGTTTTAAACAATATCCATGACGATAAAATCTTTTTCTTTCTTTGTATGACAGTTCAAAGCATTCAATTTATGATTTTGTAAAGATAATGATTATGATTTCTTTTGACATTTGTTGTGTCTTTTTGAATAATTGCACATATAAAAAGAAAAGAAAAGCAAACACAATGATATATATATATGTATATTTTTTTTGTAATATTTAGATATATCTGATAACAATGAAAATCCGTCAAAAACGTTGAATGACAACGAACAGAAACAAGCCTTGTCAATCATTTCAACTGATACCAATGTCAATGATACAACAAACGTTACTCCAAAACATTGTGCAATTGATGAATCCTTTTATGAAGTTGTTACCAATGAAGAATTGTCAACATCGACATCAACACCTCCTATCGTATCTCCTACGTCTACTACACACACAACTAACTGATATGACATATACATGCATATAACTTCTTAAATAACTCTTGGATAAATCATATTTATAAACATTATTAATACAGTTGAAGTCAAGTGTAATGATGAAATTTGCACATCATTCGTTGACTAATATTTCTCTATTTACCAGAACCCCCACACATTCTCGTTTTCTTTTTTTCTCTCTCTCTCTCTCTTTATATTCGAACGCCCATTCTTGTGGATGTATATGTTCGTTGTATTTATTTTTTTCTTCTCTCTCTCTCTTTCATTCTCATTCAAAACCTTTCATTAAGAAAATGACGTAGAAGAAAAAGAAATTCAATAATGAATGGCAATGTGTAACAGAAAAATATTCAAGATGAAAAAACTAACTAATGAAATATTTAAATTTGCTTGCTTCATTTGTCGCCTGCTTTAGGAGTTAAGCAAACATTTAAAACCATTATCACTTTAAAAAAAGAACCACTCAAAAAGTAATCGATAGAAAGAATGAAGGATAATATTTCTTTTCTTTTAACGAAAAACAATCATGCTATGCTCTTGGCCAAGAATATTAGTTGTAATAATATTGATGAGAAAAGGAAAGGAAAAAGAAAAAAAACCTCTTATCAGAACGAGAAAACCAGAAAAGAAAAAAAAAAAACGTACGTGCGCAAGAAAAGCTTTCAAAGATGAAAAAAAAAACAGACTAAGAATTGGCTCCATTGATGTTTTATGCGAGACCGAATGCAACATCTGATGGTGGCGCTAGCACAAAAAAAAAAAGAAAAGAAAACAACTACGCAGAACATGAATAGAAATACGCATATTCTTCATTCAATCCATGCTCTTCTACTCATAATAATGTCGAGCACATAAAAAAAAAAAAATCTGACGAGAAAGACGACGAAGAAAAATGAGAGAAAAAACCAACTGAAGTATTATTACTGGGAAAAAGAGTTACAGCATTATTAATGTAAATGAATCAACAACAGAACTATAAAGCATCGTTTCTGTTCTTTTTTTTCTTCTTGTTTATTATACCATTGACACGTCAACTAAAGCTTTTAACATAACTCCTGATACAGCTGCTGCGATGATTACTAACTCTAATATTGATAATTGTGATGAGCAGTATACAGAAATAACATTGAATAATAAGGAAAATGCAGGAATAAAGACAAAAAAATATTTACGATGATCGCAAAAATCAAAGAAACAGAGAAAAAGGTAAAAGAGGAAAGAGAAAAAACGATGTTGAGAGAACAGCGACGATAGAAGAACAAGAGAGAGAGAGAGAAAAAGCGAAGGAAACAAATAAAAATACTGCCTCAGTTACATCGCTGACAAGCAAACCATACTACTATTCGAGCGTCAACGATTCAATGGCGGATCGTGTCTCATCATCATTCAATAGTAAAACTAAGAATAAAAATATTTCTTTATCAAATAATCATTCGACATATACTACAAATACTTCACATAATATTTCATCATCAAATTTTTATCCGACATATTCAATGAATCGTCATTCACGAGAATACGAACCATCATATCCATCAATAACTCGTTATCGTACAGCATCTTCATCATCACCTTATCGTAAAGCACATTATTTAGATGATTTTATTGAAGAAATAATTCATGAAGAAATTCTTGAAATAACATATCTTGATCATTATCCAACATTACTTGAACGTTGGGGTGATGATGCAAAAACAATTGTTAAACAACAAGGAGAAAATATAATTGAAGACTATGTAGAATTTGAAGAAGTTGAACCAACAATTACAGAAGAAATTTCATATGAAATAATTTATGAAAATAATGAAATTAAATCAACTAGAGAAATACATCATTCACGTTCAGAATCTCGAAATTTTCGTAAAATTAAAAAACGACGTATCAAACATAAATATCAAATACATGATATTCATACAGATGATGTAGATAAACGAGCAACACAACTACTTGATAATATGCATAACTTATCAATTAAAATTGACTCAATCATTCAAACTGGGAGTAATTTTAATGATGATTTATCCGGTGATGATTATGAATTAACAAATATTGATCATACAACTGAACATATAATTAAAAAAGATTTAGAAGATACTTATGAAACTATTCGTACAATTAACAATGGTATGTTACTTGTTTGTTTTTTTTTCTATTCTATAGTTTTGAAGTATTTAAAAGAACGAACAGAAATTCCCTTGACGCAATGAAATTCAATTATGCCGAATGAGCATGATCATAGAATAGTTGTTGTATTGTATGAACCTTACAATGTAAACGAAAATCGATATCCAATGAGTATTTAAGTATTTTTCCAAGGTTTTCTAATCTAAATAAGATTAGTACAATATTGAACATTGTTAAATGTTAAGATTTTTTTACAAATATGTATATATATATATATATATATACATGTACCTTTCAATTGTGATCTGTATCAAGGAAACATTATAAAGTATTGATCCGATTTTAATCGATAAAGTAGAAAGAATTAGTTTATAGGTCAAGATTTTCTTTTGAAAATGTCAAAAGTTCAGTTTATTAAAAATGCGAGAAAAAAAAAACAAGGGTTGTATTTTTCATTTTTTTTTAATAATTCAATATAAAAATAATTATACAATTGATCATTGATAATTAACCTTGAAAAAAATTCATAACTTTATCAAAAAAACAAATCAACAACCAATATCATTTAAAAACTAGATAGAATGTTTTTTTTTTAATGTCACTTTGGTCTTGAATGTACAACAAAAAAAAAAATGTTGTTTTCATGTCCGTTTGAGCTCATTAATTAAGATTTATATTGTATATTACGTGCTAGTCGTCATTATATTTTTTTTTTTTTAATGGAAGTTTAATCGATTTTTTTCTGCAACTATATACAATGATAGCAATCAATAAAATCAGTTTTTTTTTCTCTTGATTTCATAAATATTATAATTGTTGGTCAATTAGAAAAAAATTATTCATTATATTTTACTACAGGTGATGATCGTTTTAATGGTGATATCATTGCTAATGGGACATCATTATATGGAAATGAAGAAATTTTATTACAACCTCTTAAGTCAGACGAACAACAAGAAAATTTGTCCAATGAAACAAAACAAGAATATCAAAATGTTTTTATTCCACAAAGAATAGACGATGAAGAAGATTCCAAAGAATCTCATCCATCATTTTCAATCTTAACGAATGAAACTTGTATGGGAGTATCTTTTAATGACGTCCGGCCAAATGAGTGAGCGATGGTTATGTCAAAACTGTGTAGAGCAGAGGAATCTATCAAACAAGTTACAGAAATGTTGATCAGAGTTTTAATTGAGTTTATTAATTTCTATAAAAAGTTTTATTTCATTAATTAGTTACTACATTTCGTAGTGCTGAGCAGTATGCATTTTTATTAAGACGTACTGCTGAGGGTGTCGAGTTTGAACTCTCTCTTCATTCACATTCGTAATCCCACATCTACACTTCAACATTATGCTTTCTTGCTGAACAGTACGTCGCACTGAAAATGCATACTAATCAACACTACGATATAAGGCTTTTTATAGGCGTTAATGAAGTTAATTTAACGTCAGAATCTGGTTTAAGAGTGTTGCATCAGAATTAGTATTAGAATTTATTAATATTAATGTTCATGGTAACTGACACTTCTAATATCGTTTGAATTATTAGAATTCAATAAAATAAAAAAGAAATGTGTTTGATGTGAGTTAGGTATGGAAAAATATCATTCAATTGATCTGTAAGGGATTTGATGATCAGTACTTTCTTTTTTTTTTAGTTTATTATTATTGTCCCGGTCTGGTGCTGCTAAGATGCTAATCAATAATATGACAGTCCCATTTTTGAATTGGCACATGCTCAGTTGAACAGCTAAGTTATTTCTAAAAAAAAAAGGATTTTTAACAAACGGATATACAGGGAAGAGGTTAAAAAAACGATTTTTGACCAGACCACGACAGGCATTTCTCCATAGATCACGCGAACATGTGGTTTTTGACTTAGAAAGACATTATTTTATCCTCAATAGTTTCATCATCTCTCAAATGTTAATATAATCTGACAAACTCAAATTCGATAAAAGCTTTTTGCTAAAAAAACTCACTGTAAAAGACCTCTCCCCGAAATATACGTAAAAATCTTTTTTTTTCCAAGAAGATTAATAAATTATACGTCAGTCATGAAGTTCGTCTTCAATGCAAATATTTCTATGTCGAGAAAAAATAAATTTACTTTGAACATTTACGAATCGATCGAGTAAAAAAAAACAGTTTCAAATGGTGTATATAATTTTCTCCGAGATGTGTTCTTCGTACGTGTCTAATTCACAGTAAGAGAAAATCCTAATCCTTACAAGCAGCGTTTTCTGACTAATTCTCGCACACGAACCAACGACTTCTATATCATTAAATAATCCATAGGTTAGAGTATATATGTAGTCCTATTTAACCCATTAAAAATTATACTTGATTTATGTGTCTGTCTGGATGTTCATAGTGCGGACGTCTTTTATGGCTACCTCCTATTCCATCTGATGATCACGAAATCATCTCACCAAAAGAATCATCAATCAATAAATCAAATGAAGAAAACAAGAAAATACTAGAATCTGAATTGCAATCGACAACATCAAAAATTGATCAGCAAAAGATAATAATCGAACAAGTGGTAAATTTTTCTATCAATCAATTTGAATAAAACTGAATTTTATTATAATTTAGAAAACAACAACACAAGAAAAAGCATCAGGTCACGACAATATACAATCAATTCAAAATCAATCATCACCAACAACAGAAACTTCTCTTCAATCTTTAACTAATGAAAAACAAATAACATTACCATTAATCGAACATGATTTCGATGATGATTTACTATCATTTTTAAAATCACTATTATCTCATTTAATGCCAAATTCATTCGATGAAAATAATCAATGTTTAATTGCTCAAACTAAATTAACTCAAGAATCAATATCAAATATTGATTCTCAAACAAGGTGAGTCATTAAACTTCTTTAATATTCAAAAATTAATCGATTTTCTAATTTTTTTTTTCCAGTCAAAACATACCAATCGATAATCGCAATGATTCACATATTGAAACCTTTCAACCGAACATTAAATTTGAAGAACTTACAAAAATTGACAAAACATTAACTGATTCTCATATTAATCATGAAAATTTACTATCGGAATCTAACAAAATATCTCACATCTCAGAAACTAAACAACAAACAATTTCTAAAGATATAACAAAATCAAACGAAATTGAAAATGTATCATCAAAAGTATCAACTGAAGGAGACCTTGACATTCATATTATACCACTCAATTTTCAACTTCCATCAGATAATGTTAAAATAAGTCTAGCAAATCAACAAGAAAATATTCATGATGATATTAAGTAAATTTTTTCTTTCATTTCATATTTATTTTAAAAAAAATTAAATCTTAATTTTCTATCGTTTTTAGTACACAAATTCCAGAATCAATCATAACTATAACTGATAAACAGAATACGATGTTTGATGACCTTCAATTATCAATTGAAGAAGAAACAAATGAAAATGAACCTGAAGGTCTTTCATTAACTAATCAAACAATTGCTCAAGGTGAAAAATCATTTCTTAATACTCATATTGAAACTACTGATCAAACTAATCAATTATTAGAATCTACGAAATCTTCTACAACTATTGATAAACAACAAAAATCAACTTTAAAAGATTATTCATCGACAGCTGATAACATATCACAAGAAAATAAAGTTGAAAATTTATCATCGAATTCTTTAATTCAAATTGTTCATGAAATTCTTGCTACACCAAACTCTACTAGTCTTTCATCGGTCAATATTAAACCAGAAACAATTAAACAGACAGTAGATAAACCATCAATCAATTCACTTGAGGAAATTATCCAACAAATTAAAACTATTCTATTGGCAAAAGTATCTAAAATAGAATATGATCCAATGCAAAATATACATGAAGATAAAAACCAATCGGACTCAAATATTATTTCATTGACAACTGAAACTGTACAGAAACCATTTGATGAGACTGACCAAACATATGCAGAAGAAACAACAATTTTGTCTAATGATCCTGCTACATTAGTTACTACATATCAACCATCAGGTGAAATCAAAATTAACATAATTACACCTCATAAAGAAAAAACAGATGAGACATTAAATACTAATTTGAACATTGAAGTTGACAAACAACTGAAAGCTGTTTCTACTCAATCAACAACAATGATAAGACCAGAAAAAGAATTAATTCAAAAGACATATTCCGATGAAGATGAAAACGTAAAGCTGTCGTCAGATTCTCTTGTTGGTATAATACGTCAGATTAGAGCTACAACATCTGCTACTCATTTTCCATTAGTTAATCATACGTCAAACGTAATTGACAAACCGACAAACAATTTTATTAATGAAACTACTGAACAAATTCATATTACATCAATACCAACGACAAATATTGAAGATAATAAATTATTGGAATCAACAAAGAATTTGTATACAATTGAGAACATTCATCAAACAAATATTGACAATGAAGCAAAACATATTTCATCTAATGTCATTGATGAAACCCTTATTAGATCAACTGTTGATGATAATACCAAGGTCAATATTGTATCTAATGATATTAAGTCATCATCAGATTCTCTAATGAAAATTGTTCATCAAATATTATCATCGGCTATGCAATCAATTTTACACATCAATTCATCTGCATCACCTATTACAGATGTAAATACTCAAACAAATGTCCAATCTTCTATGCAAGATATTCTTCCAAATGAATCAAAATTATTAACTACTTCAATCATTACTGAATTATCAAACTCTATTTACCAAGATGAATCATTAAATGATATAAATAAAAAATCTATTTCATCATCCGTATCAATAACATCTAATGATATTGTTACTGAAACTATTTCTGACATACCTAACAATCTTCAACAATCTACTGACATAAATTCAATTAATCAATTTATAAGTGAACCATCATATTCAGTATCTGAATTAACCAATGTCATGAATGGTATTCTTAATTTTTCAATGAAAACGTCTGACGATAACTTTTCGAATATACCTCAACAATCAAAAATAATTGAACAAACAACTTCAACAAAATCCTTTACTCCTGAAACATCAACAGCAGAAACTGATTTTCAAGATTTTTATCAACGACAATATTTTTCATCACCAAATATCGAACAAATATCATTAGATTTAACTTCTATCGATGATGAACAATTAGATCAGAAAAAATCTACACCTGATTTAACTAAAATATATTACGAATTACAAGAACAACGTCATATTCAGCCTCTACATATTTATGAGCAAATAGAACAAAAACAAGAAACATCAGATGACAATCTTAATAATCCTGTTCAACAAATTGATTTAACATCATTTTCACAAATTTCAAATTTACCTTCAAGAGAATATCATCAAGTATTTGGTGTCTCGAATGAAATTGTTAATACAGTTAATGATTCAACAAATTATATTGATCAAATAATTCCATCAAACGTTTCCGATGAAGTGAAATCTATTACTTTCGATTCAAATGAAAAGTCACAAATCACAGAAATCTTTGAAGATAATCGATCGATTGTTTCTGAAAATCAAGAACAACTAAATAATGAATCCATGCCAAACATTATATCTAATGCTGAATTCGATTTTCGATATTCTTCACTATTAAATCGACTTGATACTCTAGCGAAACCATTACTTAATTTACCATTATCTTCATCAATTATTGCAAATGAATTAACATTGTCAAAAACTCATCAAGAAAAAGATACTTACGATCATTTAAATGAACGTTACGATGTTCTAATTGATCATGTTAATACACTTGATGCAACTATACATGCTAGTCCTATTATCAAGATGACTGACATTGATAAACAAGTTACTACATTCTCATCAGATGATCAACATAATGAACTAATGAACAACAGTTCGAGTTTATCCGATAAAATCTCTCATACAACACCACAATATCCAACAACTGACACAGAAATAATTTCAACATTTAATATAATAGAATCAACTGATACATTCAAGAATCCAACAGCCGAATTACCTGATGGAAAGACAACTATCACATTGTCTAATCCGTTAAAAATTGAATCAAATATCGTTTCAAACCAACTTCCAGGCCATTATGATGATTATCCATGGTATTCAAGTTATTACACAATTGCTCAGGCTGAAACGAAGCTTGGTCAATTATACAAACAATTAAACTTTGTTGATGAACAAAACTGTTCTTCATCAACAACCGAATTCCATGAAATACTGTCTAGTCACGACCATGAATTACAAAATGAACAAGATCAAGATAATGATGAAGAAGGTTTTCATATTGTACATCGTCGCAAACGCATACCTTCGTCAACAACACATACGAACATATTACCATCAATTATCGTACCCACAAAACTACCAATTAGTTCAGATATAGATCTTGAACCGGTTATTCTTCATGGACATTCAACTGCACCAGCAATTACTGCGTCGATCACACCACAAACTATAAATATTTCTAGCAAGACAAAACACAAGAAGAAGAAGAAAGAAAAATCAGAAGTGATTTTCTTTGATGCTCCTGAATTGATATCATCAGATTCAAACAAACAGCAAATCGATGCTACACAATCTGAATTAGTACAGCAGGAATTTCCGGTGAATAATGAAACAATCAACTCGTCTCAAACCCATCGAACAATAACACATGAATGTGAACAATTACAACCAACATCAAATGTAATTTCTAACGAACAACAACAACCAGAAGTTTTATCGACATTGACTTCTTCTAATATTGATGAATTAAAACTAGTAGCTGACAACAAAAATGAATTGACTTCTAATGGTGTTTCGTCATTGTCATCTGCTCTAGTTAAAATGCCTTCAGATGAGAACATTGTCAAAACTCAAACAATTGAACAACAATCGATAGACAAAGAGTCAAATCAACAGTCTGCACCATCGTTTACAACAACGAGCATTTCATCTATTCAACAAATATCAATCGATGACCATAAACAACAAGATGACACTACAAGCAAACCTGGGTATCAAGACCTTCAAGTTCTCTATGATGATAATCAATCGAATTCCAATTATAATACAATCTCTGATGCAGAAACAACAAAGTTAGATCACTTAAATGAAGAATTAAACTTGGCAAATGAGCAAAATCGTTCTCCAACAACAGCGCACTTTCATGAAACACCCTCTACTGACAACCATGAATTAGAAAGTGTAAAAAATCAGGATGACGATGAAGAAGGTTTTCATATTGTACATCGTCGCAAACGAATACCTTCATCAACGACACATGCGAAGATTTTACCATCAACTACTATAGTCACGCAATCAACACTAAGTTCGGATATTGATCTTGAACCAGTTATTCTTCACGGGCATCCGACTGCACCAACTACCACTTCTCCGACCGTTTCAGAAACTACAAATATTCCAAGCAAAACAAGGCACAAGAAAAAGAAGAAGGCTAAAACGGAAATGGTTTTCTTCGATGCACCTCAATTGATATCATCGAATCTTGACAAACAGAAAACCGATATTGCGCCATCTGAATTAGTGAAACAGGAAGATACGGTGAATATTGGCACAATGGATGCTTCCCAACTTAATCAAATAACAAAAGATGAATGTGAACCATCACCTGCAATCTCAAGTGTTATCTCTGACGAACAACAACAACAACAACAACAGCCAATTGCTTTATCCACATTAATTACTTCTAATATTGATGAATTAAAACAAGTAGCTGATAACAAGCATGAATTGACGTGTAACAATGTTTCGCCATTGTCATCTGCTCCAGTTACAATACCTGCAGATGAAATAAAAGTCCATACTCAATCAATTGAGCAACAGTCGAAAGAAAAACCGTCGATTCTACAGTCTGTACCATCATCGATAACGACAACTCTTTCTTCTATTCAGCAAACGACAGTCGATGATCAGGAACAAGAAGATGACACTGCGAATGAATCGTCATATGAAGAACTTCAAGTTCTCTATGATGATTATCCATGGTATTCAAGCTATTATGCAATCGCCGATGCCGAAGAAAAGATTGCTCATTTATATAAACCACTCAAACATGTAGATCAACAAAGCTGTTTTTCAGCAACAGTCAAAACTCATGAAACGCTTATTATCCAGAAGCATGAATTAGAAAGTGAGAAAGATCAAGATAACGATGATGAGTTTCATGTTGTTCACCGGCGAAAACGCATACCTTCATCAACGACACAAACAAAAACATTACCATCAGCTACCATGACTACCAAACCACCAACTAGCCCAGATATAGATCTTGAACCAGTAATTCTTCATGGACATCCGACTGCACCAACTATTACTTCTCCGATTGTTTCAGAAACTACGAATATCCCTAGCAAGACAAAGCACAAGAAAAAGAAGAAAGATACAACGGAAATGATTTTCTTTGATGCTCCGGAATTGACGTCGCCTGATGCTAAGAAGGAGAAAATTCACGATAAACGATCGGCATTAGTAGAACAAGCACATCCAGTGAATATTGAAATAATGGATTCTTCTCAACGTAATCAAACAATAGCATCTGAATATGAACAATTACAGTCAACGCCAACTGAACTTTTTAATGAACAAAAACAACCAGAACTTTCATCGCCATTGATTACTTCTAATATTGATGAATTGAAAGTAGTAGCTGACAACAACAATGAATTGGCTTCCAATGATGCTTTGCAATTGTCATCTACTCTAGTTACAATACCTTCCGATCAAACAATAATCAATACTGAACAAAATAGTTCCCCAACAATTGGTGGGTTTCAGCAAAGAACCTCTGGTCACGACCATGAATTAGAAAACGTAAAGGATGAGGATGACGATGGAGAAGGTTTTAATATTGTACATCGTCGAAAAAGAATACCTTCATCAACTACGCATGCCAAGACTTTACCATCAACTACCATAAACATGGAATCAACACTAAGTTCGGATATAGATCTTGAGCCAGTTATTCTTCATGGACATCCAACTGCACCAACTATTCGTTCTCCAATTGTTTCAGAAACTACGAATATCCCTAGCAAGACAAAGTACAAGAAAAAGAAGGATAAAACAGAAATGATTTTCTTCGATGCACCTGAACTGACATCATTGGATGCAAACAACCAGAAAAGCGATGTTGTCAGCTACTACTTTCAATTCATCAATATTNGATCAACAAAGCTGTTTTTCAGCAACAGTCAAAACTCATGAAACGCTTATTATCCAGAAGCATGAATTAGAAAGTGAGAAAGATCAAGATAACGATGATGAGTTTCATGTTGTTCACCGGCGAAAACGCATACCTTCATCAACGACACAAACAAAAACATTACCATCAGCTACCATGACTACCAAACCACCAACTAGCCCAGATATAGATCTTGAACCAGTTATTCTTCATGGACATCCAGCTGCACCAACTATTACTTCTCCGATTGTTTCAGAAACTACGAATATCCCTAGCAAGACAAAGCACAAGAAAAAGAAGAAAGATACAACGGAAATGATTTTCTTTGATGCTCCCGAATTGACGTCGCCTGATGCTAAGAAGGAGAAAATTCACGATAAACAATCGGCATTAGTAGAACAAGCACATCAAGTGAATATTGAAACAATGGATTCTTCTCAACTTAATCGAATAATAGCATCTGAATATGAACAATTAGAGTCAACGCCAACTGACATTTCTGATGTACGACAACAACCCGAAGTATCATCGACATTGACTATTTCTAACGCTGATGAATTGGAACTAGTAGCTGACAACAAGAAAGAATTGACTTCTACCGATGTTTCGCTATTGTCATCTACTCTAGTTACAATACCTTCCGATCAAATAATAGTCAATATTGAACAAAATCGTTCTCCAACAATAGCCGACTATCATGAAAGACCCTTTCCTCACGACCATGAATTGGAAAATGTAAAGGATGAGAATGACGATGAAGGAGATTTTCATATTGTGCATCGTCGCAAACGCATACCTTCATCAACTGCGCATGCAAAGACTTTACCATCAAGTACCAAAACCACGGCATCAACACTAAGTTCCGATATAGATCTTGAACCGGTTATTCTTCATGGACATCCAACTGCACCAACTACTACTTCTCCGATTGTTTCAAAAATCATGGATACACCAAGCAAGACAAAGCACAAGAAAAAGAAGGATAAAACAGAAATGATTTTCTTCGATGCACCTGAACTGACATCATTGGATGCAAACAACCAGAAAAGCGATGTTGCACAGTCTCAATTAATAGAACAAGAACATCCTGCGAATATTGAAACAATAGATTCTTCTGAAATTAGTGAAACAATTACAGGTGAACATAAGCAATTAGAATCTACCTCTACTGACATTTCGACCGAACAAAAACAGATAGAAGTTTTATCCCCATTGATCACTTCTAATATTGATGTATTAAAACCAATTGCTGATGAAGAGAATGAAAAGACTGGTACCGGTCTCATGCAATCATCTTCAATTCCATTCACAACATTTCCGGAAGAACTAGACGTCGGTTCTCAGTCAATTGAGCAACAATCCATGGATGCAGAGTCAATTCAACAGTGTTTACGAATATCTCCTGATATTGAAGTAGTTTCTCAACCAGTAGTAGGACAAGAAAAACAAGCAGACAGTGAAGAATTTCAAGATGCTCATCATTGCAAGCATGCCACCTCACCACCTCGATCTCGTACGCCTCCGCAATCATCATCTTTTACAAATAGTATTGATGGACAAAATATTAGTCCTGATATTGACCGTAAACCTGTAGTTATTCATGGACCTCATGATTCAGCATCTCGTTCCATTCCGCGTACAACAGTTGCCGCTGAAACAGCTTCAACTTCAACGGATCAATCTACAGAGCCCGGTGATAAAGTCGTAACTTCAAAGGTAGCAGACAGCGCAGTTGTTATTTCAACAAGATCTGATGCCATAGTAACAGAAGTAGAAGCTGCTCATCAAGAACAATCATCATTCACAGGTTTACCCGCAATTATGCAAGACGTTTTATCACCAGTAATTGAAGTGAAAACAGCTCCTTCGTGTAATCTACTTGACAATGCAACATCGTTTGAAACTAATGATACACCTACTTTAACAAGCACTTTATTTACATCAGAACCTAGTGAAAAAGACATTAGTCTTGTTAATACACATTCATTGAACGTACAAATAATTCCTTCTGAATTAAACACACCCGTCAAAGATGTTACTACAACTGTTCAAGGAGTTGTTGAAACTACACATAAAAACATTTTACCTACACAAGACGAAATAACTTCGATACCAGAACATTCCTTAATTTCCACTTATGCTTCTGACTCACCTAGTTTTCAAATCACCGACACTGAACATACTCGCCTTTCTTCTACTCTTCAAACATCAGTCGAAGATCGTAAACAACAAGATGAACTTATGAACAAACCTTCATGTGAAAAAGTTGAAGTTTTCTATGACGACTACCCATGGTACTTAAGTTATTATACAATTGCTGATGCCGAAACAAAGCTTGGTACATTATATAGACGATCATACTCTTTCAATGAACAAAACTATTTATTAACAAGAGTTGATGTTCATGAGAAGCTCTCTAGCCACGACAATGAAATACAGAATGAAAAAGACATAGATGATCATGACGATGAATTTCATGTTGTGCATCGTCGCAAACGCATACCTTCATCAACTACACATACGAAAATATTACCATCAACTGCCATAACCACGAAAACATCAATTAGTTCAGACATAGATCTTGAACCAGTTATTCTTCATGGACATCCAACTGCACCAACCATTACTAATCCGATTGTTTCTGAAACTACGAATATCCCTAGCAAGACAAAGCACAAGAAAAAGAAGAAAGATAAAACGGAAATGATTTTCTTCGATGCTCCTGAATTGATATCGTCTCATGCTAAGAAGGAGAAAATTCACGATACACAATCGGCACTAGTAGAACAAGAGCATCCATCGAATATTGAAACAATGGATTCTTCGCAACTTCATCAAACAATAGCGTCTGCATATGAAACATTACACTCAACGTCAACAGAAATTTCTAATGAACAAAAACAACCAGAAGTTCTATCGGCATTGTCTACTTCTAATATTGATGAATTGAAACCGGTAGCTGACAACAAGAATGAATTGATTTCTAATGATGTTTCGGTATTGCCATCTGCTCTAGTTACAATACCTTCAGACGAAATAACGGGCAATACTGAACAAAATCGTTCTCCAGCAACAGCTGACTTTCATGAAACACCCTCTACTGACGATCGTGAATTAGAAAATGTAAAAAATGAGGATGATGAAGGCTTTCATATTGTACATCGTCGAAAACGAATACCTTCATCAACTACGCATGCAAAGACTTTACCATCAACTACCATAAGCACAGAATCAACACTAAGTTCGGATATAGATCTTGAACCAGTTATTATTCATGGACATCCGACTGCACCAACTATTACTTCTCCGATTGTTTCAGAAACTACGAATATCCCTAGCAAGACAAAGCACAAGAAAAAGAAGAAAGATACAACGGAAATGATTTTATTTGATGCTCCCGAATTGACGTCGCCTGATGCTAAGAAGGAGAAAATTCACGATAAACAATCGGCATTAGTAGAACAAGCACATCCAGTGAATATTGAAACAATGGATTCTTCTCAACTTAATCGAACAATAGCATCTGAATATGAACAATTAGAGTCAACTCCAACTGACATTTCTGATGCACGACAACAACCAGAAGTATTATCGACATTGACTACTTCTAATGCTGATGAATTGGAACTAGTAGCTGACAACAAGAAAGAATTGACTTCTGCCGATGTTTCGCTATTGTCATCTACTCTAGTTAGAATACCTTCCGATCAAATAATAGTCAATATTGAACAAAATCGTTCTCCAACAATAGCCGACTATCATGAAAGACCCTCTCCTCACGACCATGAATTGGAAAATGTAAAGGATGAGGATGACGATGAAGGAGGTTTTCATATTGTTCATCGTCGCAAACGCATACCTTCATCAACTGCGCATGCAAAGACTTTACCATCAAGTACCATAACCACGGAATCAACACTAAGTTCGGATATAGATCTTGAACCAGTTATTCTTCATGGACATCCAACTGCACCAACTATTAGTTCTCCAATTGTTTCAGAAACTACGAATATCCCTAGCAAGACAAAGCACAAGAAGAGGAAGAAAGAAAAATCAGAAGTGATTTTTTTCGATGCTCCTGAATTGATATCATCGGATCCAAACAAACAAAAAATCGATGATACACAATCTGAAATATTACAGCAAGCACTTCCGGTCAATATTGAAACTTTGGATTCCTCTCAAATTAATGAAAGAATAAAACAAGAATGCGTTCAGTCACAATCAGCCTCAAGCGAAATTTCTAATGAAAAAGACCAACCAGAAGTTTTATCGACAGTCACTACTTCCAGCACTAATAAACTAGAACAGAAAGCTGATAATGAGAATGAAATAACTTCAAGTGATGTTTCGCAATTATCCTCTACTCCCGTTAGAATAGTTTCGGAGGAGGAAAAAGTTGATATGCAATCAATCGAACAACAGCCGATCGATAAACAAGCGATTATGTGGTCTTCAGCAACATCAGAGATGACTACTAGAGCATCTGCTGATACTGAACTAGTTTCTCAATCAGCAAGAGAAGAAGAAGAACAAGAAGACAATGAAGGATTTCAAGTTGTTCATCATCTCAAACATATCACATCTGCACCTCGATCCAGAAAAATCCAACAATCATCATCGACAACAAATACTATTTATGGACAAAATATTAGCCCTGATATTGATCTTAAACCTGTAGTTATTCATGGACGTAATGATTCAGCATCTCGATCCATTCCTCGTAGAACTGCAATCAACGAAACGGCTTCAACTTCGACTAGTCAATTTGCAAAGTCCGGTGATAAACTGTTAACTTCAAATATAACAGATAACGAAGTTGTTATTTCGAGACCTTCGGAAGAAATAGTGCCAGAATTAGAAGTCGCTGTTCAAGAACAATCATCAATCATAGGCTTATTCGAAATTATGAAAGACATTGTGTCAGCAGTACCTCAAAAAATTATAGTGTCATTGGAGCCTACGGATAAAACAACTCATTCTGCAAATACAAGTTCATCAGTAGAAGAACATACTCCTGCTGATGTTCCTAGATCTGGAGAAGAAATAACATCAACCATAAAGACAACGATTGTCACATCGGAAGGAATAAGAGCAAAGGAAGAACAACAATTATCATCAACAGGATTGTTTCACAGAGTGAAAAATCTTTTACCAGCGACATCTCTTCCAAATACATTCAGTGAAACGACTTCAGAAGCCATTCAACAAATTGTAAAATCACAACAACAAGAAGACACTACAGAGGAATTCGTTGATGCAAATGATTCATCCACTGTCCAGAATCTGTTGTCAATTTCTCCAAATTTAATGACTAATGCCGCTCGTAAGCAAGATTATCCAACCAAAGATAGACCGATACCGGCTGAAGAAGAACGTCACACTGTATTCGATCTTGTTGTTCAAGCTGTACCAGAGGTGAAAGAGATAATATCAAATCTTGGCTCTACTCAGGAAGGACCTGACTTACTACAAGCTTCATCCAATTTATTAGACAAATCACTGATTAATACTTTAGAATGTGGCAATTTATATAATGATAAAGAGCAACAAACATTTATTGCAACCGTTAAAGAAGTTGTTGAAGCTCCACAAAAAAACATTTCACCTATTCAAGAGCAAAAAATTCCGATTCCAGAACATTCCTTAATTTCCACTTATCCCTCTGACTCATATACATTTCAAAACACCGACCCTAAACGCGACACACTTTCTTCTGGTACCAAAACATCACCTGAACATTATAAACAACAAACTGAAATTATCAATAAACCTTCAAATGAAAAACTTCAACTAATCTATGATGATTATCCATGGTACTCAAGTTACTATACAATTGCTGATGCCGAAGCAAAGCTTGGTACATTTTATATACGATTATACTCTTTCAATGAACAGAACCGATCATTAACAACAGTTGATGTTCATCAGAAGCACTGTACCAACGACCATGAATTACAAAATGGAAAAGACATACCTGACAATGACGATGGATTTCATGTTGTTCACCGTCGCAAACGCACACCTTCATCGACGACACATACGAAGACTTTACCATCAACTACCATAACCATGGAATCAACACTAAGTTCAGATATAGATCTTGAACCAGTTATTATTCATGGACATCCAACTGCACCAACTATTAGTTCTCCAATTGTTTCAGAAACTGCGAATATCCCTAGCAAGACGAAGCACAAGAAAAAGAAGAAGGATAAAACGGAAATGATTTTCTTTGATGCTCCCGAATTGACGTCGCCTGATGCTAAGAAGGAGAAAATTCACGATACACAATCGACATTAGTAGAACAAGAACATTCAGTGAACATTGAAACAATGGATTCTTCGCAACTTCATCAAACAATAGCGTCTGCATATGAACCATTACACTCAACGTCAACAGAAATTTCTAATGAACAAAAACAACCAGAAGTTCTATCGGCATTGATTACTTCTAATATTGATGAATTGAAACCGGTAGCTGACAACAAGAATGAATTGATTTCCAATGATGTTTCGGTAGTGCCATCTACTCTAGTTACAATGTCTTCAGACGAAATAATAGTCAATACTGAACAAAATCGTTCTCCAGCAACAGCTGACTTTCATGAAACACCCTCTACTGACGATCGTGAATTAGAAAATATAAAGAATGAGGATGACGATGAAGAAGGTTTTCATATTGTGCATCGTCGCAAACGAATACCTTCATCAACTACGCATGCGAAAACTTTACCATCAACTGCCATAACCACGGAATCAACACTAAGTGCGGATATAGATCTTGAACCAGTTATTATTCATGGACATCCAACTGCACCAACTATTAGTTCTCCAATTGTTTCAGAAACTACGAATATCCCTAGCAAGACGAAGCACAAGAAAAAGAAGAAGGATAAAACGGAAATGATTTTCTTTGATGCTCCCGAATTGACATCGCCTGATGCTAAGAAGGAGAAAATTCACGATAAACAATCGGCATTAGTAGAACAAGAACATCCAGTGAATATTGAAACAATGGATTCTTCTCAACGTACTCAAAGAATAGCATCTGAATATGAACAATTAGAGCCAACGTCAACTGAACGTTCTAATGAACAACAACCGGAAGTTTTATCAACATTGACTGCTTCTAATATTGATGAATTGAAACTAGTAGCTGACAACAAGAATGAATTGACTTCTAATGATGTTTCGCCATTGTCATCTACTCTAGTTACAATACCTTCAGACCAAATAACGAGCAATACTGAAACAAGTGAACGGCAATCAATAGACAAAGAGCCAGTTCAACAGTCTTCACCACCGTTTACAACGACGGACATTTCGTCTATTCAAAAAATACCAATCGATGATCATAAACAACAAGATGACACTACAAGCAAACCTCTGTATCAAGATCTGCAAGCTCCCTATGATGATTATCAATTGCATCCTACTTGTTATTCAATTGCCGATGCAGAAACAAAGCTTGCTGAATCGAATCAACAATTGAACTTGGTCAATGAACAAAATCGTTCCCCATCAATAGCTGACTTTCATGAAACACCCTCTACCGACGATCGTGAATTAGAAAGCGTAAAGGATGAGGATAACGATGATGGAACTTTTCATATTGTACATCGTCGGAAACGAATACCTTCATCAACTACGCATGCGCAGACTTTACCATCAACTGCCATAATTATGGAATCAACACTAAGTGCGGATATAGATCTTGAACCAGTTATTCTTCATGGACATCCGACTTCACCAATTATTATTTCACCGATCGTTTCAGAAACTACGAATATTGCTAACAAGACAAAGCATAAGAAAAGGAAGAAAGAAAAAGCAGAAATAATTTTGTTTGATGCTCCTGAATTAATACCATCGGATGTTAACAAGCAGAAAAGTCACACTGAACAGTCTGACTTAGTAGAACAAGAACGTTCAGTGAATATTGAAACAATGGAGTGTCCCCATGTTAGTCAAGGAATAACAGGTGCATATGAACAATTGGAATCACGCTCAACTGAAATTTCTAATGAACAACATCAGCCAGAAGTTTTATCAACATTGATTACTTCTAATATTGAGAAATCAAAACAAGCAACTGATAGAGAGAATGAAGTGGCTTCTAGCCATGTTTCGCAGTCGTTTTCAAGTCCACATACACAAGTTGCGGAAGAAGGAAAAGTTGGTACTCAATCAGTCGAACATCAACAGATAGATAAAAAGTCGGCTGTACCTTATCCATCATCACCTATAACTAGTACTACGGCATCAAACGATACTAAAGTAGTTCCTCAATCAACAGTAGCAGAAGAAGAACAAGAAGACAATGAAGGATTTCAACTGGTCCATCATTGCAAACATGGCACCTCAGCACCTCGATCTCGTAAAGCTCCGCAATCATCATCTTTTACAAATATTATTGATGGACAAAAGATTGGTCCTGATATTGATCTTAAACCTGTAATTATTCATGGACGTCATGATTCAGCATCTCGAACCATCCCTGTTACAACTGCTATTCCTGAAAGCCCTTCAATTTGGACTAGTCAATCTGCAATGTCCGGTGATAAAGTCTTAACTTCAAATGTAAGAGATAAGGAAGTTGTTGTTTCAAAACCTTTCGAAGAACTAGTAGCTGAAGTAGAAGTCGCTTTTGAAGAAAAATCATCAATCACGGATTTATCTGGAATTATGAAAGACGTTTTATCAGCAGTAATTGAAACGAAAGGAACTCTGTCGTCAGATGTTGAAGCACAAAGTTCTCTGATCGATGAAACCATTGAACAAGAAGGCTCATCAGATCAAGTTAATTATGCAACATTGCTTGAGAGTAAGGATACTCCTACTTCAACAAACACCTTAGTATCATTAGAGCCTACGGAAGAAACAACGCATCGTGTAAATACAAGTTCATTGGTTGATGAACAATTTCGTTCTGAAGTTACTAGACCTCTAGAAGAAATATCATCAACCAGTAAACCGACCATTATCACATCGGAAGAAATGAAAACAAACGAAAACAACGAACAACAACAGTTATCATCAGCAGAATTGTTTGACAATATGAAAAGTCTTTTACCATCAAGACTTCTATCAAATACATCCAATGAAACAATTCCAGAAAGTATTCAATCAACAGTAAAATCTCAACAACAAGAGGGCACTGCAGAGCAATTCGTTGATGCCAACGATTCATCGACTGTTTTTATAGAACCCACATCTATACTATATGATACAACATCCATTATCCAAAACGTTTTGTCAATATCTAGTATTCCAAGTACTGATGCCATTCGTAAAGAAGATTATCCAATGAAGGATAGAAAAATAGAAGTATGTGAGACGGCTGTAAGTAAACAATTCTTTTTTCAAGTATAAGCGAACTACCAATGAGCTAAATACCGAATTTTTTTCGAGTCATGTCGACCTGACCTTTGCGGTACTAGTCTTACCACATCTTCGTCCAGAACTAGACTGAAATCTTCAGCATTCTTGAACTAAGTCTCGATCGCATCATTATATATGTACAGTCTTAGTTTTGTCTGAAAAAGGACCCATCGAGGAGTACACGAGTGTCGGTTAGATATCAAATTATTATTTAAAGTGTAGATTAGTTATGAACGAGAAGTTTTCAAACAAAAATTAGACAAGTCGGATCAATATGACTCCAACCAGAGAATGGTTAAAAAAGTGAAAACTAAGATTATCCAGAACCGTTAACATGACACGCTGTAATCAGGTTTACTGTACTTTTCTAAATTGAAATATGTATAGTGAAAAATTCGATCCTAACATGCATACACAGTATGTTATTCATCCCTTGTTTAGGCAATTGAACTAAATGATCGAGAAAGGAATTTCTAGGTCTTGGGAAATATTTGCAGATACAATGTTTTAGAATTTCTTTTTTTAAATTTTCATATTCATAAAAGAAATTTTCATTATAGCACAGAATTATATAGCTAAGCTCAAAAGAGACCATTTAAGATGTAAAAAAAAACTCATGAATGCGAAAAAAGAATATGTTAAGTGCAAAAATAAATTAATAGCTATTGAAATCGAAGAGAAATTCATTTTTTTTTCAGTATCATGATTTTGTTAAATTTTAAATTAAATTAATGTTTAAACTAAAAATATCTAATCAATTTTAAAATTCTAAGTTCAGAGCTTTTGTCAATCGATGAACAGCATCTTTTGTATTTTCACCTACGTTGTGATATTTCGATATATTTTTTTTAACATTAATATTCAAAAATACAAAATCTTTGCTTCTTAGAGAAGTTCATCGTGGCACCTTGAGTTTTAAAGAACGAAGAATAGCAGCAATACGTACAGAAGTATGATGAGATATAAGAAAAAATATAATGCCTATCTTTAACTTCGGTATTAGTCTTAAAGAATTCATTCATCCTTTCACTCGAACTAGAAAAAGTAATATTGATGACAATCTACATATATGTTGGTATATATTTAATAATTATGAATAATTTTTGTAATGGTAACATAGTAGAAGGTTCTAAATCAGCATTCATGAAAGGAAACACCTGTTTTCGCGCATTATGCTGTAGGATAAGCTTATGACATTAATAACTAGTATTGACAATAGATAACATACGTGCACGTTTTTCTATCGCTAAAGCTTATCGTTCATCGACATAAGCTATAAAGATTTAATTTTATTATTGAATATAACTGTACAATTTTTCAGTTGAATTATTTAGCGAGTTGATTGAAAGCTATTGGTGAAACAGGGTGTGAGCATAAGACTTCCAAAGATCTGAATCCATATGTTTGAAATAATTTGCAAGACGCTTATTTTAATGCATATATTTATAATGCTGATTGATTTTTAGCAAAAACATACTAAGTGAAATGATATTTATTTTCCTACCTCCGTCATGTTCTAAACACGTTTAATAATCAATCATTTGCTAAGAGCAAACAATATTGATATTGAAAGATGTTTTTTGCATTACATTTTTTTTTCTTACATTATTGATAAGTCGAAACTAGTTGATTGGATAGTTTAGTATCAGAAAAATGAAATGCTTCCAAATATCATAATGTTTTGAATTAGTAATAACAACACATTATAATAATTATATGAGTCATCACAGTTCCATAAGAGACGCTTTAGATTAGTTCTGATTGCTGTGAAAGATGTTTCAGATAAGTCAAACGATTTCTCTTCGGCCAACTTTTAATTGTATAACAAATCCACGAGAATCTTTCTGCTATTACGAATATTTGAACTAAACTCTGTCTATTCGTAGCTCATTGCCTGAAGTAAAAACACTCGTCAAGTATTTAATATTGAGAGTTCTGATGCTCGAATTTATCTTTAGTCTTCGTTTTCTATTCCTTCTCCTTGTACGGAGAAGTCGCGAAAGGACAAACAGACAAATCGACTAGACATAGCTAAGTTCGAAGACGTTCTTGACTAGTTCACTTCTAATTACAGGACACTATTTGTTAGAGTAACTAGTCATCACCGGTATTGCGAGCATTCTAGATTAACCATGCCGCCCGTCTTCACTTATTCTTTTGCTTGTTTTCAAAGCATGTTACTTATTTTATTTTATTATACTTACAGTCACCGACAACGACTAAAGAAAAGCATGATGGCGTATTCGATCCTGTTGCTCGAGCCCTATCCAATGTTAAACAAACAATATCTGATCTTAGATCTTCCATCGAGAGAACTATCTTATCAGATTCGTCATCAAATTTAACTGATAAGCCCCTGGATAATATTCAACAATCCGATGATTCACTTAATGATGAAAGCAAGCAAACGTTTATTGGAACAATTGAAAATACACATGAAAAGATTGTACCTACACAAGACCGAACAATTCGGATTACTGAACAATCCTTGATTTCCACATATCCTTCTCACTCACATCAAATTCAAAATACCGACACTGAACATCATTATCTTCCTTCTAGTCATCAAATATCAACAGAAGATCATAAGCAAAAAGATGAATTCGCGAAAAAACCTTCCCATGAAAAAGATCAAATTCTACATGACGACTATCCATGGTATTCAAGTTACTATAGTATTGCTGACGCCGAAACAAGGAATACTGGATTACTTCAACAATTAAATCCTGTCACTGAAGAAAATAGATCATCAACAATAATCGGCCTCCATGAAACACTCTATATCCACGACAGTGAAATAGAATATGAAAAAGATGAGAATGACGATGACGAAGGCTTTCATACTGTGCATCGTCGCAAACGCATACCTTCATCAACTACACATACAGAGACAACACTATCAACTATCATAACAGCAAGACCACCAATTAGTTCAGATATAGACCTTGAACCAGTTATTCTTCATGGACATCCAACTGCACCAGTCGTTGTTTCTTCAATTGTACCACAAGCTATAAATGTACCTAGCAAGACAAAATATAAGAAAAAGAAGAAAGAAAAACCAGAAATGATTTTCTTCGATGCTCCGGAATTGATATCACCTGATCCAGACAAACAAACACATGATGCTGCACAATCTGAATTAGTAGAACAGAAACGTTCGGTAGATATTGAAATAGCAGATTCTTCTGCAATCCATCATACAATAAAACATGAATTTGAACAATTACATCCAATCTCAACTAAAATTTGTAACAAACAACAGCAACGGGAAGTTTTATCGACATTGATTACTTCTAATATTGATGAATTAAGACAAGTAGCTGATAAAAACGATACTCAAACAATCGAACAGCAATCGATCGATAAAGAGCTGATCCAACCGTCTTCACTATCATCTACGACGGCTACTACAACATCTACTCATACTAAAGTAATTTCTCAATCAGCAGCAGAAGAAGAAGAACTAGAAGACAATGAAGGATTTCAAGTTGTTCATCATCACAAACATATTACATCAGCGCCTCGATCCCAGAAAACTCAACAATCATCATCGACAACAAATACTATTTATGGACAAAATATTAGTCCTGATATTGATCTTAAACCTGTAGTTATTCATGGACGTCATGATTCAGCATCTCGATCCATTTCTCGTACACCTAGCATCAACAAAACACCTTCAACTTCAACAAGTCAATCTTCTAAATCCAACGATAAAGTCCTGGCGTCAATTGTAACAGACAATGAAGTTGTTATTTCAAGACATCCGGAAGAAATAGTAACAGAAGTAGAAGCCAGTCATGAACAACAGTCGTCATCCACAGGTTTATCCGAAATTATGAAAGACGTTTTATCGCCACTCGCTCAAACCAGAACAAGTCCTCCGTCTAATATAGTTGACAATGCAGCATGGTTTGAAACTAATGATACACCTACTTCGACAAGTACTGTACTCACATCGGAACCTACTCACGAAGCAACTCATTCTGTTAATATCACTTCCTCGGTCGAAGAACAACTTCTTCATCAATGTATCTCAACCACTGATTCCACCATTATCAGACCGGAAGAAATAAAACCAAACGAAGACTACCATGAACAACAACTATCATCAACAGGATTGTTTGATACAAAGAAAAGTATTTTGCCATCAACACTTCTGTCAAATGCATCTAATGAAACGAGTTTAGAAATTATTCAATCAGTGGTAAAAGCTCAACAACAAGAACACACTGCTGAACAATTCTTTGATGCAACCGATTCATCCAGTATTTTTGCCAAACCAATATCTTTTCTAGATTATACATTGCCCAATGATCAAAGTATTTTGCCAGTATCTAGCGATTCAACTACTAGTTTTGGTCATCGATCAAAGGACACGGCGATTGATGAACCGATAGAGACCGAAGAAAAACATCATGGTGTATTCGATCTTGTTGTTCGAGCTATATCAAATGTCAAAGAAACATTATCTAATCTCAGTTCTTCTGATGCAAAACATGCCTTACTAGAATCTCCATCAAACTTGTCTGATCAGCCCCAGGATAGTACGCAACAACCTGATTATGCACATAATAATAAAGAAAAACAAACGTTTATTGGAACCATCAAGGAAGTTGCTGAAAATGTGCTCGAAAAGATTGTACCTACACAAGAACAATTAACTCAAATCATAGAACAGTCCGAAATTTCAAATTATCCTTCGCTTTTAAATCAATATCAAGCCACCGATAATAACTCTGATCGTCTTTCTTCTATTCATCAAACATTAACCGATGATCATATCCATAAAAATAAATTTGTAAACAAACCTTCATATCAAAAACTTCAAGTTTTCTATGACGACTATCCATGGTATTCAAATACTTATACAATTGCCGATGCCGAAACAAAGATCGCCCGATTATATAAACAATTAAATGTTGTCACTGACGAGAATCGGTCATCAACAGTAGTTGACCTTCATGAAACACCCTCTACTCACGACCATGAATTAGAAAATGAAAAAGATGAGGATGACGACGAGGAAGGCTTTCATACTGTGCATCGTCGCAAACGCATACCTTCATCAACAACACATGCCAAGACCCTACCATCAACTATCATGACCACGAATTCATCAATGAGTCCAGATATAGACCTTGAACCAGTTATTCTTCATGGGCATCCGACTGACCCAACTATTACTTCCCCGATCGTTTCAGAAACTACAAATATCCCTAGCAAGACAAAGCACAAGAAAAAGAAAAAAGAAAAACCAGAAATGCTTTTCTTCAATGCTCCAGAATTGATATTAACTGATACCAGCAAGCAGAAAAGTGATACGGCACAATCTGAATTAGTTGAACAAAAACGTTCGGTGAAAATAGAAACAGCAGATTCTTCTGAAATTAATCAAACAATAAAACATGAATGTGAACAACTACAATCAACCTCAACTGAAATTTCTCACAAACAGCAACCAGAAGTTTTATCCACATTAGTTACTGTTAATACTGATAAATTAAAACACATATATGATAAAGAGAATAATGTGACTTCTGACGACGTTTCGCAATTATCTTCAACTCCCGTTACAATAGTTTCGGATGAGAGAAAAGTTGTTACTCAATCAACAGAACAACAACCGATAGATAAACAGTCGATTCCATATTTTTCAACAGCGTCGATCATGCCTACCACAACATCAACTCATACTAAAGCAATTTCTCAATCAGCCGCAGTAGAAACTGAAGAAGAAGAAGACAATGAAGGATTTCAAGTTGTTCATAATCACAAACATATCACATCCGCACCTCCATCGCGAAAACCTCAACAATCATCATCAACAACAAATGTTATTTATGGACAAAATATTAGTCCTGATATTGATCTTAAACCTGTAGTTATTCATGGACGTAATGATTCAGCATCTCGATCTATTCCTCGCACAACTGCCATCAACGAAACGGCTTCAACTTCGATTAGTCAATCTGCAATGCCCGGTAATAAAATCTTAACTTCAAATGTAACAGAAAACGATGTTGTTATTGCAAGAACATCTGATGAAATAGTAACAGAAGTAGAAGCTGCTCATCAAGAACAATCATCATTTGCTGGTTTATCAATGATTTTGAAAGACGTTTTATCACCAGTACCTCGAAAGAAAATAGCTCATGCATCTCATGTTGAAGAACAAAGCCGCATCATTGATCAAACTGTGGAAGAAAAGACTTCATCACATGAATGCGATTATTCAACATTGCATGGAACTAGTAGTACTTCTACTTTGTCAAGCACTTTACTCACATCGAAACCTACTGAAGAAGCAACTCATTTTGTTCATACAAGTTCATTGATCGAACAACAAATTCCTTCACATTTTATGACCCCCATCAAAGATGTAATCTCAACCACGGAAAAAATGGCACAAAACGAAAACAACGAGCAACAAAATGTATTATCAACAGGATTGTTCGATAAAGTGCAAAGCCTTTTACCTTCTACACTTGTGTCAAAGACGGCTCATGAAACAAGTTCAGAAACTATTCCATCAGTTCTAAATGCTCAACAACACGACGACACTGCTGTGCAATTCATAGATGTACATGATTCATCGAGTGTTGTGACCCAATCAAAATCTGTTCTAGATGTTACAATACCCAATGACCAAAGTATTTTGTTAGTATCCAGTATTTCAAGTTCTAATACCGATCATCAAGAAGATTCTTCAACGAAGGATGAGCCGAAAACAACTGAAGAAAAGCAACACGGTATATTTGATCTCGTGGTTCAAGCTATATCAAATGTCAAAGAAACCATATCTAATATTGGTTCTTCTGCCGATAATCATCAAACACTAACAGATGATGATAAGCAACAAGACAAATTTGTAAACAAACCTCCATATGAAAAACTTCAAGTTATCAATGATGATTATCGATGGTATTCAAATTATTATCCAATCGCCGATGCGGAAGCAAAGATCGCCCAATTATATAAACAATTAAATGTTGTCACTGAAGAAAATCGATCATCAACAGTAGTCGACCTTCATGAAACACTCTGTACTGATGACCATGAATTACAAAACGAAAAAGATGAGGATGACGATGAGGAAGGCTTTCATACTGTGCACCGCCGCAAACGTATACCTTCATCAACTACACATGCGAAGACATTGCCTTCGACTATTATGACCACGAATCCACCAATTAGTTCAGATATAGACCTTGAACCAGTTATTCTTCATGGACATCCAATTGTACCAGTCGTTACTGCTCCGATCATGCCACAAAGTGTAGATATTGCTAGCAAGACAAAACACAAGAAAAAGAAGAAAGAAAAATCAGAATTGATTTTTTTTGATGCTCCTGAATTGGTATCATCTGATGCAAACGACGAGAAAGTTGACGCTGAACAATCTCAATTAGTAGAACAAGAATATCCAAAGAAAATTGAAACAATGAATTCTTATGAAATCAAACAAACAATAAATAATGAGTTTGGACAATTACATCCAATATCAACCGTACTCTCTGACGACCAAAAAACACCAGAAGTTTTATCAACATTGATCATTTCCTGCACTGATGAATTAAGACAAGTAGCTGATAAAAACGATACTCAAACAGTCGAACAGCAATCGATCGATAAAGAGTTGATCCAACCGTCTTCACCATCATCTACGACGGCTACTACAACATCTACTCATACTAAAGTAATTTCTCAATCAGCAGCAGAAGAAGAAGAACTAGAAGACAGTGAAGGATTTCAAGTTGTTCATCATCACAAACATATCACAACCGCACCTCGATCCCAAAAAACTCAACAATCATCATCGACAACAAATGTTATTTATGGACAAAATATTAGTCCTGATATTGATCTTAAACCTGTAGTTATTCATGGACGTCATGATTCAGCATCTCGATCCATTCCTCGTACACCTACTATCAACGAAACAGTTTCAACTTCGACTAGTCAATCTGCAATGTCCGGTGATAAAGTCTTAACTTCGCATGTAACAGAAAACGATGTTGTTATTGCAAGAACATCTGATGAAATAGTACCAGAAGTAGAAGCTGTTCATCAAGAACAATCATCATTTGCTGGTTTATCAAAAATTGTGAAAGAGGTTTTATCGCCAATGATTCAAACAAAAACAACTTCTTCGTCGCATGTTGAAGAACAAAGTCGAATCATTAGTCGAACTATTGAAGAAAAATCTCTGTCAAATCTAGTTGACTCTGCAACATCCTTTGGAACCAATGATATTTCTACTCTGACAAGCACTTCATCCACATCGCAACCTATCGAAGAAACATCTCATACTGTTATGAACATTTCATTAATCGAAACAGAAATTCCTTCCGAAGTTACCGCATCTCTCAAAGATGTAACCCCAACGACGGAATTGACGATAGTCACATCGGAAGAAATGAAAACAAACGAAGACAATGAACAAGAATTATCATTAGCAGGATTGCTCAATGGAGTGAAAAATCTGTTGTCACCGACATTTATATCGAGAACATCGAATGAAACATCTACAGAAAATATTCAGCCAATCATAACATCTCAACAACAAGAAAACACAACCGAACAATTGGTTGATGCAAACGATTCGTCCAGCGTTTCTACTAAACCAACATCTGTCCTAGATGATACATTACAAACTGACCAGAGTATTTTATCAATATCTAATATTTCAAGTGCTGATACTGATCATCAACAAAATTATCCAACGGCCGATAAATCGATAAAGACTGAAGAAAAACAACATAGTGTACTCGATTTTGTTGTTGAAGCCTTATCAAATGTCAAAGAAACAATATCAAGTCTTGGTACGTCTGATGAAAAAACTGTCTTACGTGAATCTTCATCAAATTTGTCTGATAAATCAATAATTAATACTCTGGAGTCTGACGATTTAGATGACAAGAAAGAAAAACAAACGTTTATTGAAAGCATCGAAGAGATTGTTGATAATACAAATATAACGATTTTACCTAAACAAGAAAAAGTAACTCCGATCATAAAACAATTCATAATTTCCCATTATTCTTCTGATTCAAATCAATTTGAAGCCACCGATACTGAACGTGATCATCATTCTTCTACTTATCAAACATTAACAGATGATAATAAACAACACGATTTATTTGCGAACAAACTTTCATATGACAAACTTCAAGTGATCCATGATGATTATCCATGGTATTCAAGTCACTATACAATCGCCGATGCAGAAGCAAGGATTGTTCAATTATATAAACGATTAAATCTTGTTAATGAACAAAACCGTTCTTCAACAAAAGTTGAATTTCATGAAACCCTCATTACCCACGACCATGAATTACAAAAAGAAAAAGATAAAGATGATGATAATGATGAATCTCATATTGTACAACATCCCAAACACATACCTTCGTCAACAACACATACAAAAACATTAATAACATCAAGTACACCGACCACGGTACTACCAATTAGTTCAGATGTAGATTTTGAACCAGTTATTCTTCATGAACATCCAACCGCACCAGTCGTTACTTCTTCGGTCGTATCACAAACCATAAACATCGCCAGTAAAACAAAACATAAGAAAAAAAAGAAGAAAGGTAAAAAGGAAACAATCTTATTCGATGTACCTGAATCGATATCATCTGATGCAAACAAGCCGAAAAAAGATACTTTACAATCTGAATTAGTAGAACAGATGTGTCCGAAGAAAATGGAAACAATAGATTCTTCTCAAATCACTATAATTTCTCATGAACAACAAAAACCAGAAGTTTTACCAACATTGATTAATTCTAATACTGATAAGTTAAAACAAAAGGCTAATAAAAAGAAAAAATCAACTTCTAACGATGTTGCGACATTATTACCTACTCCAGTGACAATAGTTTCAGGAGAAGAAAAAACAAATACTCAAACAATCAAACAACAAGCCATAGATAAAAAGACAATTTTACGATCTTCATCATCATCTACGGCAATAATTACACCAACTATTCGTACTAAAGTAACTTCTCTACCACAAGAAGAAGAAGAAGAACAAGACGATAATGCAGGATTTCAATTAGTACATTATCACAAACGAATACTTTCAGTAACAAAATCTGAGAAAACTTCACCACCACCTATAACTACTTCAAAGGAAATTTTCAGTTCTGATCTCAATCTAAAAACATCACTAAGTCATGAACAAAAGAATTTACCAACATCAACAACTGATGTCACTCAAAGCACAACATCAAAGAAGTCGAAAAATAAACACAAAAGACAGAAAAAAGAAATAGTTTCTTCATCTAACGTTGAACAACAAACAATACATAAAGAAACAATTATACAATCTCCAATTTTATCATCATTTCTAATTGAAGATTCAAACGTACAATCAAAACCAACTGTCCCATCAATCACGAAGGCTACAAAAGTTCTTACAAAAACTCTACCATCTTCTGAAGAAGAAGACAATGAAGGTTTTCAAGTTGTGCACTATCGCAAACATATAACATCAGCGATACGAACTCGAAAAGCTCCACAATCATCATCAAAAACAAAAAATGTTTATGAACAAAATATTAGTCGCCATATTGACCCTAAATCCGTAGCCATTCAGGGACGTCATGATTCAACATCCCGATCCATCCCTCATACAATTGCTACTAGCAAAACTTATTCTGACAAACAACAAAAGGACCAAACATCCATAATTAATACTCAACCTCGATTAGCATCAACTGAAATGCACCTTATTACATCGACTAATATCGATAACAGTTTCGAAATGCCTAAAGTCATGAAAAAATTAGAATCAAAACCAGATCAATGTCAACAACATGTAAAAGACTCAAAATATGAAACAATTTCTAGCCTAAAGCCCAAATCAGATCAATCATCTTCTGAAGAACAACCAATCAAACTAATTGTTAAAGAATATCACATGTCAACAAAACCTGATATTAAAACTACAAATGAAAAATCATCAACTGACAAAATTATTCCATCCACAGTATTACATACTAGCAGTATCAACATTCAAAAATCTAAAATAATAGAAGACGATAATGATAATGATGGATTTCAAATTGTACGTCATCACAAACATAAAACTTCAACAATAACGAAACAATCCAAATTAACTTCAACTATTGATCAGAAAACAACAAATACTTATGTTAAACAAGATTCATTTACATCAACAAATGCCAAACAAAAATCTAAGAAATTAAAACCAACCAATGAACATACTTTATCATCATTAATAATTGATAATGATTTTTCTCCATTAGCTATCGAAGAAACTCAAGATCAAACAACAAACGAAAATATACGACAAACTCCTGAATTAAAAATTAGAGTTTCAAAGAATTTTTTTTCTAATTCAAATGAAACAATATCAAACACTAAAACATACGAAACTAAAACTTCACAAATAAATGAACACATACATTCAATAGATAATACTCAAAATCAATTGCAATCAAGAATATCAAATCAAGAATTATCTATATCATCGAATAAACTTCCTCATAAAGTTAATGATCGTTTAAAAACTGAATCAATTAAATCTATTGGACTTTCTCAAACTTCATCTACTGATATGCTTTCAACACCAACTACAAATATAAACAATGAACAAAATAAAACAATATCAAATGAAAAAGTTTTAAAACGAAAAAAGAAGAAATTACATACTGAAACAAAAATAGATGATAAAAGTTTATTAACTTCTTCAACAAGTACAATTCTTACAACACATAAAAATATAGAATCCGATAATGATAAACAAAAATCTAAAACAACAGTTACTCCATCTATTACTTCACTTCCTGATGATACATCAGAAATCTTATCCATAAAAGAGCATAAATCACAAGAAATAAAAACAAATATACCAGAAACTATTTCTTTAACGTCATCAAAAATTGAAACAACAGAATTTTTAACTTCTCCTACATCAAAATCAATTCATCTTATTCAAGATCAAGTATCTTATGAAGAAACACCTAGCAAATTAGATTTATTTTTACCTGAATATATGCGTCAACAAATTGAGACATATCCAGAAAGTTCATCATCAATAGTTAATTCTGATTTTACTTCAAATACAACATCATTTGATATTATTCAAAACAAACAACAACAATCTAAAATGTTTAAAAAAAATCTTGAAACAAAAATTTTATTAACAAACAAATTCGATAATACGAACAAACAACATAAATCACAAAGAAATTTAAGTGATAGTGAAAATATGAACGATGATGATGAATTTATTATTCAAACTTTTCATTCTAATCTACCAAATGCATCACAAGAAAAATCAACTAATATTTCTATTGAACAAAATATTGATAATATTCTTTCACGTGGTTTTCATCATTGGTTAGAAGAAAGTCAAGCATTATCACAACAACAAGATACTTCATCATCTGTTTGTAGTTTAACACATGCTATGCAAAGTATTATTATTCAACCTATAGAAAGTGATGATGATGACAGTTCATATATTGAATCTCAAACTATTGAACCTACTTATATAATTGGTGTTCGTCCTGAAAAAAGAATTCATATTCATAATGCATATTCAATTAATCATCCTGAATCTATTTCATCATCTTCATACTTTATAACTCAATCAAATAATAAGACATTTGAAGATGATTCAAGAAAATATAATTCAGATAATGAAGAAGATTCAATGAATGATACATCAAAAAAACAACATTCTAATCAAACTGATACAAAATCATTAACAAAAGAAAAGCAACAATCAAATTCTATTAATGATAATCATCTACAAATAAGTTTTACTATTGATGATGTACAACGATGTTTAGGTGAAGATTTTTATCATCAAATGGATAATAATAATAATAATAATAATAATATTAGTAATAACAATAATCATTCAATTAATTATGATGATTGGGCATATTTTCTTGAACATAAAAATTCTTATCATATTGGATATGATTTATCAACATCATTAGAATGTTTCTATGCTCAAACGTGTGAGGATGATACTTTTCTTTCTAATACAATACCTATTCATTATTCAATTCAACGTGAAAAACAACGTTATGGAGATTTTTTAACATTAAATAATGATAAGATTACACCTCAATCAATGATTAAATTGTCTTCATATAGTTCTAAACCGTCGGAATCTTTTCAAAGATGGAAAAAACATAAATCAATTTCAAATCAATATCAAAATGATGATGAGATATTTATATCACATTCGACTAATGGTCTTTGTCGACAAGTGACACCGTAAAATATGAACAATATTTTTTTTCTTGATTTTCGTTTTTTGTTTTTTTCTTTTCTTTTTTTCTTCTTTCTTATTTTATTTATTCATCTAGTCGATCAACATTTATCCTATATAAAACAAATACTTTTGAACATACAAATTGATACATATGATTTATACATTCCTCGACGTGTTCAAATGATTTAGAACAACATCAAATTCGTTTTTTCTTCGAGACATTATTCATAATTTTGCTGTATTAATGTCAATTAGGACTGTAATTTCAAAAAAAAGAAAAATCAATGATCTTATTATTAGAAAAAAAAAACATTGAAGATCGTCGTTGTAACACGTCTATGATGAATCATTAGTATCATTTCACATTTTTATTGTTCTTTCGCTTTTGTGTGTGACAAGTGAAACAATTTTGCACGTTTTGTATCTATTTTCTTTTTTGCTTTTTTTACACACTTGTTTATCACACATAGTGTTCACATTTTTTTTGTTACATTCAAATTTTAGTTGAATCGATTAGATTATAATCAACGAGAAAATTATTAATAAAAGTCAAACAATAACCGAGATTTTTCATACTAATTAAATACATGCAATAAAAATAAGAAGATTAGTTTTTTTCAATCGATTTTTGAAAAAGACATTCCTGGATATAAAAAGTCATTGTTCTATTACTGAAATGCTGCTCCCAAAACGGAAGACATGTTCTTTTTTTCGGACATTTCACTTTCACGAGCTTAACGGTTGAAATAGTTGAGCTTCGATGTGTAGGTGTGATTGTGAATGTGAATTTTCTCTTCATTAATATTAACATTCATACTCGTCGTCATATTACTTGACTATTATTTGCTCATCGATATCAAAAACCATCAATAAGAAGTTGACCTCTACCTTTCAAGGATTGTATAATTGATGTACTTAAGAAGAGATATATTAAGAATGATTGACAATGTTTTTTTTTGCTCCGAGATATGTATTGTTTGTTCAGTGAATAATTACTTAAATACTGAGAATTCTTTTTATTCTCGTAAAAAAAAGTCGCTGATGTACTGATCAAGGAGAGAGATTAATTACTTGTATATATCGTTATATAGTATGTTATCGAATCTTAGTGAACAATGGTACATACAGCTTATTATTTATTTTAGTCTAAACTACATATGAAGGATTCAAATGTTGAGATGCTCAGCTGTCGATGTAGCTCCTATTACAGAATCTATTTGAATAGTTTTTGTAATATGATCTGATCTGTTCGATGAGTGTCTTTTTTTTGCTCATTTGATCTAAAGTTTGAATTGAGTATTGTTTGACCTCTAATTGATACAACGTTTTCATGTTAGGTCAGAACAGCGCCTACAATTCAGGCATGATATTTGCTTATATCACATGAAATGACAGAGTAAATCATTATCTACAAAATAAGACATCTCCGAGTTGTCTACAACGTTTTTAGCTGAGATATAGCAATTTAATTGAAGGTCAAAAAAATGCTTTTAGAGATATCCGTAAGACTGTTTTATCTCAGCTAAAAAATTTTGCAGAGAATTTGGCAATGACTTATTATGTAGACAATTTTTTACTCTATCACTGTATGTAGTTTAAACAAAATTAAATTTACATGCTTTAGGTACAGAAAAATTAGTCTTTTAATTTTCTGGAGTATGTAAATTTCTTTTTTTAGCGCTTACGGCAGCGAAAAAATTGGAAATAAATCTTCTTGAATAATTTTGATATTCAATGTATATAGCGAAGTAAAAGTATTCAACTATTTTCCAAGTACATATTTTTTGGACAATTGTTGCAAAATGCAAATATAAGAAACAAAAAAAAAATGAATGAAAAACATCATCATTTATATAAATGTACAACTATAAATAATTGCCATCATGAAAAAAAATCATTAGATTTTGAAATTTATAATTTATGATACACAATAAATAAGAAAACGATAAACATTTGTCAAATTCTAATCTTACGTATCAGTTTGACAATTTTATATTTTTTTTGTCTAATATCCTGGACAAATCGCTTATGTAAAATTATTCATTTTAAGTTGTTTGATAATTATTTTTGGACATACCTCATCAAGAAAGTCAATCAAACTAAGAAATCTCTATGATGATACATCTGGCTTTGTAATGTGACGTGTAAATAAATGCATATGTCAAGACCATTGACTCTGATTGAACTAGGTAAGAGCATCTGATTATGATGATGACAGGGACAGCATATAATCGACAAACAATATTGTTGATCGATGGATGATCTGAATAAGCAGAAATGAATGCGTTGAAAGCCTCATGGCTATACTTCTCTTCATATCTTTTCTGACGTATATTTGTTTAAATTTTGTTCTTCTACTATATTATGATGATATTAGAATAAACAATAAGCATGTTCATGAGAACAAAAAAAAGAATTCATTATCATAATTGAGACGTTAAATATCAAGGTGAACATTATACTTTTATTACTCGTTTTATGTAAAATCCTTTTTTTTTGCAAGCTAAATAAATCTATTTTGAATAGAATAATAAATTTTGTATGAATGTTATCTATCGCGTATGAATACTTTGCTAGAAGAATTGATCTTTTCATATTGCGTCATTGACTATTGATGGATTCGAGATATTTATTGCTTATGTCGTACATCATACTGATTTTTACAGACCAATGGATAACACTATACAGTGAACGAGAAAGAATAAACTACAGTGCTCATATATCGTTCTTTTTTGTATTAACTACATATATTTTTTTCTTCATCATTTATCTGCAGATGTCTATGTAAAGATTATTCTTTTTTTTTTCTTCTACAACTCGATAATACACAATAGAATGACAATATATGATGATATTCTCGTCGTTTCTTTCATTGCTTGTATACATATATATAAGATTTAAATATAAAAGAATAACAAAAGCGTCTTATCTGGTTTCAAGTTTATAAGACAAAGATATGAAGTGATCAATTTCATTTCATTGTTATTTTTCTTTCTCATCTTACATTTGTTGAATAATAAAAATGAATGATAATATGGTATTGCCATCGATACTTTTAACAAAGACATATTATGTTTTATGTGAAGAAACAATATATACATATGACAGAGATGACATCAACAATAGCGACGAGTTATCTGAGACAGGTAGGCGAAAAAGTAGGAAAATCTTTTTTTAATTTTATTTTTCTCATTATTTAAAGAAAGCACTTGATCTAAGCAGTTTAAACTCGAGCTTTAATCCCTATGCTATAGACATTGCCATTTGAGAATATAATCATTGGATGTATGTCTAAACAATTATTGTTCGAAAAAGAAATGTAGACAAGTGTGTCAAAAGGTTGAGTGTGTTGTTTTTCTTTTTCTTCGTCTAATCCTTACTTTTCGATCTTAATTATCTTTATTCTCTCGATTAGTCATCTGATCATCATTATCTTTGATAGCAGCAGAAAGAATCTGCTGCTGTGCAGATGCCATCCGACATATTATCTGATATGATTGTGGGAGATCACTTTGCCATCCTATGCACATATTGTATACTTATAAGAGGTTCATATTCTCTCTCTCTCTTTTTTTTTTGTTTTTTTGGTTGTCAATATCATCGCTGTACAACGATGCTGCTCCATCATCTCATTCTATATAATTTTTAACGTTCGGTCGAGATACTCAGAGAAAAAGAACAAAAGGAAAAGAAATAAGATAGAATTGTACAGTGAATGGAATAAACTTCTTCTGTTCTCTCTCTGTTATGCGAACAAACGATCATTCGTCTTGCGCATCTTTGCATTTCTTTCTCTCTCTCTCTCTCCCTCTCTCTGTTTGTCTCTATGATTCTCGCGTAATGTAACCAAAGATAAATGTTTATTTTATACGTTAAAGCTCACTAAGAAAAAAGACGACGAAGAAATTATCTTGCTCATATATTATACGATTACTAAAATAAAAATAAAAAAGACACAATACTATGATCCCGTAGTTTAGCAAATAGCAAATCTTTATTTTATTTACTTTTTATTCATTAATATCTTAATAAAACATAATAATGGGTAAGAAGAAATTATTTTCATTAAAAAATCTTATATTATATTTTTATCTAGACACATCCGAAGCTATGAATATCAATCAATCTCGATCAATAAACACTTTAAATGAACGAAATGTACCAGAAAATTATCCATATTCATCATATGAACATGTTTCTTCTGAACAAAAATATATTCCTTCATCAACCTATTGTGCAACATCATATCAATATCCGCCAACAACTAATTATATAAATCGTCATTCATTAAATCATGTCACATCGGATGATTCTGGAAATGAATCATCGATAAATTTTAATAAAAAAATAAATTCACATTTTGTTGTTGTAGCCATTGATTTTGGTACAACCTTTAGTGGTTATGCATTTGCATTTACACGAGATATTGATTCGATTTTAATGATGCGGAAAGTTGATGGCAATGATCCCGGTTTGTGGGGTTTTTTTTTATTTTTTATTTTTTTGTTTCTAAGTCGAAAACAAAATTATAAACAATGAATTTCTTTTGATTAATAGGTGTAATTAATCAAAAAACGCCAACGACAATACTTTTAACACCAAATTTAGAATTTCATTCATTTGGTTTTTGTGCAAGAGATTTTTTTCATGATCTTGATCTTGAAGAAGCAAAACGATGGTTATTTTTTGAAAAATTTAAAATGCATCTTCATCATACACAAGTAAGAATTTTAATTGCTTTAATCGAAAAAAAACAATCGACCAAAGATTGATTCTATCAAGGAATTTAGGCTAATAGTATTATGTAAGAAAATAGTTATATTCACTCAATAGATGATCTATTACATCATTCAAGTAAAATGTGATAGTGATTGACGATTGTTTAATAGAGCAGAAAAAGCGTCATAATCTCATAATTAATATTTTTTTGACGTCTGTAATTTGTTATTTTTTTTTGGCTTTGATCATTTAATTACATAGTTTTGCTTAAGAAGAATATGACTTCGACTAATGAATAACATACATGAACAACTGTTTGACTATAAAATACACATGTCATTTTGTATTTCATGAATCCCTTTTGTTTTCCTTATAAACCATTGGAAAGTGCATAGACATTCACTGATAGGTCTATAGTAATGACATGTCTGTTGATGTAAATACAATTAAACAAAACATTTATGTCTACATATCTGTTCTACTTATATAATCGAGTTTTTTTTGCGCTTCATATAATTTTATCAAGCTTACATTTATCATAATCTGGCTTTTACCTTTTTCTCTATGTCTTTCTCTCAACAAAGCTATAAATCTATATAGGATCTCAATACTCAAACATTAATTGCTGCAAGCAATGGACGTAAAGTGCCTGCATTAACAATATTTACTTATGCTTTACAATATTTTAAAGAACATGCTTTACGTGAACTTAGTGATCAATCAGGTACAAGATTTGTTAATGAAGATGTCCGATGGGTTATTACCGTACCTGCTATATGGAAACAATCGGCTAAACAATTTATGCGAGAAGCAGCTTATCAAGTTTGTTATTAAATTAATTATCAAAAAAGAGAGAAAAAAAGAAAACGAAGTTTATTAATACTCTATTTCCTAGGCTGGTATTGCTTCAAGAGAATTTCCTGATCAATTACTTATTGCTTTGGAACCAGAAGCAGCATCAATATATATTCGTAAACTACGAATGCATCAATTTGTTCCTGATGAAACTTCAACATATTCTCGTAACTCAGTCCGACGTGAACATGGTCCACTATCATCTTCATTTTCCAATCAATCATCACCCATACTTTTTGATTCTGATAAATGTTAGTATTTAAAGATAAGAAAAAGAATATTAGATAGTTGATGATATTTAATCTTTCTATCAAAAAGAAAACATACGCACGAAAGAAAGATGAAAGGTAAAGGAAAATATAGACTAAATAGAATTCTGTAGACAATGTATATCTATACACAAATGAGCAACTAATAGAAGAAACATGAGAAATTGATCTCTTTTTTCTTTTCTTTTTTTTTACAAGAATAATGAAGATTATTAAAATATAATAGGAGAATGTCAATAAATATGAATAGACTTAATAAGATTTGTGATAATTTAAGAAATTCTCCAGTTGAATATCTTTCATCAGTGGAGCCTACCAGGTCCAAAATTTTCGGTTCCGAATCTGATCGAACTATACTTTGATACTCTCAATGAAGCACTCTAATCGGAATTGTATATAGTTGCCCTGAAGATACGAGATACTATTTCCTAGCTATTTGTATATAGTGGTTAACATGTCCTACACATTTCCCAGACAAGTAGATCCCATCGGATTCTATGCATCAGAAAAATGTTAAAACAATAAAAATTAGACAGCTTAAACAGTTTCTGATTTTAGTAGAAAAAAGATTCAATTCGAACGGAATTACAATACTTGAGAAATCAGGGATGGTTTTCCATCTTTTCTTTGTCCAAAACTCGTCATTCAGAAAAAGAAAAATAATCTGAAAATTTTGACTCGAGAAACAGATGTTGTATTAAGATCATAAATTCAAAAGATCTATTCGACAAGAATAGTTCACAGAAATAGAACCTCTATAATCATTAAAACTGATATCAATAAAAGTCTATCCTAGTCATCAATCTTCATTGACTTTTTCTTTCTTTTAAATTAGTATCAATCGATCAAAATGAATATAATACAAGTAAACAAGCATTTGAAGTAATTCTTGATCGTGGTACACGTTATATTGTTGTTGATTGTGGTGGTGGTACAGTAGATATGACTGTCCATGAATTAGATAATAAAATGGGAACTTTAAAAGAATTATATAAAGCAACTGGTGGACCTTATGGTTCAGTTGGTATGTCTGTTTAATAGAAATAAACTTCTTCTGTTTTTTTTAATTAAAAGAAAATCGTTTTGTAGGTGTTGATCAAGAATTTGAAAAACTAATGACTATAATATTTGGTAAAGAATTAATGGAAGATTTTAAAATGAAACGACCAGCTGGTTACGTTGATTTAATGATTGCATTTGAAGCGCGAAAACGTACAGCTAGTCCATTTAAAAATAATCCTTTAAATATTTCATTACCATTTTCTTTTATTGATTATTATAAGAAAAAAAAGGTAAAATTACTTTTAATCATTAAAATATTTTTATGAGCTTACAGTTAATAAGTATGGGATTTTCATTTGATCAATCACTATCTCACTAAACCTTACTCCACTACGAGTTGTTTATCAACCATGGTTATATTCAAAATTGGTATGATTGATAACCTGTGATCCACTAATTTTCGATGAGAAAGCGACTGATCAGTTGACAACATTCCTTTGTGAGAAGAAAATTTTAGTTATCACTCATCGGATTTCATAGGCAGTGAAACTTTTAGGCTCAGATATTCGAAAAAGATTTTACTTATCTCATTCTAAAGTTCTATTTGGTATGCGAAAATTCTTTGAATAAGAGTTGTCTTGCATTTTTCTGAAGGTTGCGTTTAGCCAGATGTTAGAAGGTGCATCTGCACGACTTTTCTTTTTTTGAAACGTCTTGATGTATAGGTGGCGAAGTTCTTAGTCTTAGAGAGGCTGAATTCAATCTACGCTTTTTGAAAGATAATCTTCTAGAGTATAATGAAAAATTGAATACATGGTTTTTTTTTTGGTTACGTAGAAAGTGTTAGGAAGTTTGAGAATGTCGCAACGTATGATAGATTAAGAAATCTTGCTTAAAGTTTTTTCGTACATAAGTTAATATTGAACTTCATCTTGGTTGTTGCACAATAGACAAGGACTTTGCTGAGCAGCTCTTTCAGGGATGAGATAGTCGTATTGTCTGTTGAAAAGTGACCATGGTTTGATAGATATATTATTTTATTCTGTTCGACATTCTATTGTAAATGTTCTATTTGTCATGAAATAGCAAAAAGAATATTAAAAATACTTCTAAACCAATAGCAGATCCAGGCTTTTGGAAGAGAAGAAGACGATTATAAGTAAAACACTTTTTCTGGCTTAATCCAAGGTAGTGAAAACTCTGTTTTTTTGCTTAGGAAAAGTGAAAAATTCCTTAGAGTTCTGTCACCTATATCCAATTTAATCGTATTTATTCAAAGCTTTTATTTTATGGATTCCTTTCTTTTTTTTTTTGATAGGGTTCAACAGTTGAATCTGCTATTCGTCGTTATAATGATCCGGATATAAAATGGTCATCACAAGGCATGATGAGATTAACACCAGAAGCTATGAAACGTCTTTTTCATCCGACAATAGAAAAAATTAAAGCTACTATTGGTGATGTATTAAATAGTCCTGAGGTTAAAGGTAAAAACGAAATGAATAATAATAATAATAATAATATTTTTTGAATCAGAGAAAGGAACCAGCACGAGATACGATTGCAATTTTATTCATTTAGGAATTCATTATCTTTTTCTTGTTGGTGGTTTTGCTGAATCACCAATACTTCAACATGAAATTCGTCGAGCCTTTTCATCAATTCTCAAAGTGGTCATTCCTCAAGATGTTTCACTATCGATATTAAAAGGTTTTATTTCAATTAAAAAAAAAAAAAAGAAAAGAAATGAAAACAAGACAAAAGAATGAAAATGTCTGTCTTTTTTCTTTGTAAGGTGCTGTTCTATTTGGACTTGATCCAACTATTGTTAATGTTCGTCGTTCACGTTTAACTTATGGAGTGTCGGTATTGAATCGTTTTGTTCCTGATTATCATGTAATTGAAAAGAAAATTACTAAAGATAATATTGAATGGTGTGCAGATATATTTGATAAATTTGTTCTTGTTGATCAATCGATTGGTCTTGGTGATACAGTTATAAGAAAATATACACCGGCAAGACATAATCAACCACAATGTATCATTTCATTTTATTGTTCAGAATCAGATAAACCAATGTATGTTACAGATCCAGGTGTAAGAAAAATTGGTAAGTAGTTTTTTTTTAATGTTAAAATTATGAAATATTTTTAATTATTTCTATTAGGTACTCTGGTTCTTGATATGCTCAATGATGGATATATGCAAACAAATCATCATAATCCTTCAATAAATTCAAAAGATCGTCGACGTGAAATTCAAACACGTATGGTTTTTGGTGATACTGAAATAAAAGTTAGCGCACTTGATATTACTACTGGCAAATGTGTTCGAGCTACAATTGATTTTCTCAATAAATAATATTATCTGTTGATATATATATACATACGCATATATTGACTAATAGTCAAATATTGATCAGTAGGATAATTATATCTTAAATTATTTTTCTTTTCAGTTTATGTCAGCATTATATATTAAAAAAGAAAATTTGAAATTCTTTCTGTTTTTTTTTTTGTTATTTATGTGTTTCTTATCTTTAAGTTTCTTGTTTTTTTTTTTTGCAAATACTTGAACATGGAATTCGCTTATCTCTTTTCTTTTTATACTTAGAAAAAAGAAAATATGTTGTGTTATTCTTCTATATTATATACAATGGAAATTTGTGTCTTTTTTTATGCATATATATATGCAATTGGTTGTTGTTCTTCTTGATTAGATGAAGTTTTATTTTACAAATCACGGGAAGAATCAGATTCGAATAACGAATAATTGTATATGCAATGGGAGAATTTAAATATAGAAATAAAACTCTATGAAATTTATTTCACATTTCAACAATGGCAAAATTTGTATACATATAACCAACCGTTTTATTTATAATTGTGTACCTCATCGTCGAATTTTTCTCGATGATCTTCGTTTCGATCACTTTTTATTTATATACCGTATGATGAGAGTGGCTATTCAACTATGATATTTGCATTATCAATTGTGACCTGATTTTTTCTTACCTAAGAATTTAGGCATTAACTTATTTAAGTACCAGTTTACGAGGGAACTTCTTCAACTGCTTCCTTCCAATTTCAATGATGTTTTGCCTATAGATATCATTATAGTCTTCTAATAAAACCTCTAAAAGGATTTCAATTCCTATTCATATTTGACTAAGTTATTGAATTTTTTTGTATAAGTCCCAGGTCTTCCGAAAACTTTTATTTTCGAATTTTGATCTGAAACGTTTTACATATAGAAGATTCAACTTAACTGGCTTCAATAAAAAAAAATTCGCAAGTTTTAAATAAACTTTCTTCGAGATATAAAATTTTCAGAAAAAGCATGCTGTATACACTCTCCAGGGAAAAGGATCAAGATCTTGAAAGCTTTATATCTCGAAGAAATTTTCTTCAGAACTTCCGAATATTTTTATGAAGGTTACTCTAAAACTTTCGTTGCTTAGTCAAATATCAATAGAAACTGAAATCCTTTTAAGATTTTTATTAGAATACTATGTTGTATTTATAGGCAAAATTTATTGAAATCTGAAGGGGTGCCTCTGCATAAGTTCTCTTATTAGTTAGTAGCTTAATTTATGAGTAGAGGTCTCCAAGTGACAAATCCATTTTTGAATTGGAACTCTAATTCCATTCTTTTTATAATAATCCTGATAAAGTGCATAGATTTTTAAAATCTCATATCTCACAGAGGCTTAGTGAAAAAAGTCTGAAATTGTTTTTACAAAACTGGTCTAACTGGTGTCTTTATGTGAGCGGAGTTTCCGATCAAAATTCAAAAGTATAATTTTCCTTGAAAACTAAGACTACAGAAAAAATTCGATATCTCAGTAACAAAAATCAAGCAGTTCGAATCACTCTAGAGTATTTACTTACTCATTAGATCTTATCAATTGAATATATTTCAGCTTAAAATTGACTTATCACTTGGGAACCGTTCCTCATTAATTGTTTACTTAGGAATTTATTTAATTACTGTCTTACGTTAGCTGTAAACTTGGCACATAATCATATTACTAAGCATATCTATTATCGATTCACATTAGATTAGAACGTTTCTAATATTACAGGTATCATGTTAAAGTACTACCGACTTTCGGTGATGTGACTTTGCTGATCAAAGTGATACCTTATAATGATCAGTGCTACAAAACGAACTCTGATAACAATAAGATTTGTCATAGTTTTGAAAGATTTGTAGACTGTTTATCTAAATCAATGTTTTTATTGTGTTAGATAGAATCTTACTTTTTTTTTGTGACTGAAGGCTACCTAAAATGTTTTTTATACTTGACATTTCTTCTACCGTATATTTTGCAAAGCTTAGAATACAGTATGAGAATTTTTTGTTCATTACTCTTCTTCAATTTTTTTTTTATTAAACGGAAAAAAGACCATGATGAAAACTAGAATTATAATCTATCGACGCTTAACTCGTAAAAAATATGTAGAGCCATGAATGATAAAAAGCCGATTTAAAGCAATGTCCAATACAAGTCTATTCACTTTTCTAAGTTGGAATTATTCCAATAAATTTATCCTTCTATAAGTAATAAAAAAAAAAAAGCATCTTACACAGTTGCTTCCTGTGAACATTTCCTATTATTACTCAGATCTACCTATTGGTTATGGCGCCATCTGCAGTTTGACCTTATTTTTTTGATAATCATCTTGAAAGTGAAAATTGATTATTATGGATTGCTTATCTATATTTTAACTTTTATATCATAGCAATCTACTTTTAAGATATCGTTGCTAAGTAATAATATTGAATGAAATTACAAATGAAAGACACGGATTGAATTTTATTAGTGAATGCTGTAAGTGTAATTTACTTTGTTTATCTAGTAATGAACTATGGCTACCTTAATGCAACAACAACCAACTATGAGAACTACAGCATTAGAAACAATACCACAAAAACGTTTTCCTCTTGTACATGTTCTAACATCAAAGACGGAGAGTGATGAAATCAAGGTTGGATAATTTTCCAAAGCTAAAATTTTTTATCTTTTATCTGTTATTTTTATATTTAGAAAGAAGAACCGTTCAATTTCGAAAAGACCATCAAATTTCTTACCGATCCTCATTCAGTAGAAAGAAAAATACTTTAACATAATAAATATCAAATTTCTGTTTTATTTTATTTTTTAAAGTCACATCTAATCGATCGACGTATTCGTTTATGTCAAAAATTATGTCGACATTATCAAAATGGATTCGTAAGTATTTCCTTAATTTCTTGTTTTATTTCAAAAACAAAAATCTTATTATAGGCTGTCAAGGATTTACATTATCTTATGAAAATTTTTAATATACTCGGAGAACTTTGTCAACAACAACCAAATTATATTGATGTATTTATTCAAATCTTACAAAATTCTTCAAAACCATTTCTATTAGATAAATCAACAGATGGAGAAATTTATTCATCAGCACTTGTTGCTTTTTATTCAGATTTTGGTAATGAATATTTTCATTTATTTTAATTAGATAAAATGATTTTTTTTTTAAATTTACTTAGGATATCTTCTTCGTATATCAATAAAACGTATTCAAAAATGTATACTTGAAACACTTTTAAAATCAATTCAATCATCAAATAAATCACCAATACCTTCAAATGATTATGATAGCTTAAAACCAACTACAGTTGATTATATTCATCGTATTCAGCGTAATAGTGATCTTTGTGAAACACTTGTTAAAGTAAAGAAAAAAACTTGGTATTTTTTTTTTTGTTGTTCTTTTAAATTAGACTTTTATTTTCTAGACACTTTCGCTTGTAGAAAATGATTTATCACTTCGTATTCTTATTATAAAATTATTACAAAAGTTATCATCAAAATCACGTAAATTAAAGACTTTTTATTTTTATTTTTCATTATGAATTTTATTTGACAATTAATTGTTCTGTTTTTATTTTCTAGCTGAATGTATAGCAAAAATGTTAACACATGATTGTGTCAATCGTTTAATATCAAGAATAAATGATAATGATTCATCTGGAGAGTAAGTTGATAAAATTCTTAAGTATTTGTAAAACAAAACTTCTAATAAATACGAACGTTATACTGGAAATTACACTTTGAAATAATAGAAATTAGAACTGTTAGCGCAATTCTTGTGGGATTAAAATATTAGACAGTATGCTAGAGAGATAGTTTCTTTGTCATTCTTTTACTTTAATTCTTCAGAAAGTAGTAATGAGACGTTATTGTTATACTATCTGTGATTGTATATTAACGTCTATCATGCCGAATAGAGTGCATGGCAAAAGCGTCTGCAAATACATTCAACTTTGATCGAAAGAAAGACTATTGTGAAAGATGTCATTATTCCATAAACAATATCGTCTTATGGGGTATGCGTGAGGGTTAGACTCCATGAAGTTCAAAATCTTCAGAAATGATCGAATTGTATTTTGATACTCGCAATGAAATTTTCTAATCCGAAGTAGATTGCCATTCTGAAAATACGAAATACTTTTTTTTCGGTGTCTTGTATGTGGTGACTAGCACACTCTACACATTTCTCGAGCTTCTAATGTCCACGGGATCCGAGTCTAACTGGACGGACTCTAGGATGGTTGCAGATTATCATAATAGAATGAATTCTCATATTTATCGGAATCATTCAAATATATGCAATTTGATCAATTTTATGAAAGTAGAAGAAAGTCGATCAGCTAGTATTTCGAAGTATTATTTTTGCTTATCTTTCATACTTTCTTTTTCAAAAATAAACATTTGATTCCAATTTGGCTGCTTATTTCTTTAAAGCTTCTGAACGAGAAAATACTCAGAAGTTTTCGAAATTATACTTTCGATCAAAGTTGAGACAATCGTCTGTCACGATCTGTCGAAGGTTGAAGGGTCCAGATTTCTACTCTAATATTTCAACATTTCTTTTCCATCATGTTTCACAAAAGTGATTCGTAAGTGTATCATTTCCTCATGGACAGTCATAAAATATATTGTAAACTATTAATCAATCGAATTTAAGATGAATCTTTAATGTATTCTATCATTAAATCTTCATGGATAGATAAATAGAAACCTAGAAATCTGTATTCATAAACGTATATTGAATTATTTATGAGGACAACAAGCTTCATAGATATCTACGATTATATATCTTCTCTGTTCAACATATAATAGCTATGGTTTAGTATATGTGTACATTCTTTAAAACAATTTGTTAGCTCAGTTCGTTGATGCTCTATGCTTTGGTTGCCTTGGTTTTCAATTTCATATTCTTTTTTCTTAATTTAACATTATTCAATATATTGATTTAACTGGCACATATGTCTATTATACAATATCCATAATAGCTATATCAGGCTTCAATGCACAATTGAATATCTTGATAAGCTCAGAAGCTCTGATATTGATCAATAGCAAAAAGTTATAACTTGATCACTTCACACTTTTTATGTTGATCATATGACGATTGTGGCAAATCAATGCATCGCTATCTCATTAATCCTCCAAATTGTTAACTTTTCAAAGATCTCAAACTGCTCTATTTAGAATATTAAAAAATGTGTTATTGTTGAACACCTATTTCTGTTTCTAAAAGAATCTGATGTCTTTTGCCCTTGGTTGCTATAGAAATGTACTCAATGAACGTTAGCTTTTCCTACATTATTTTACGGCGAGAGCCGCAAAACATTAGCTGAAAACTTGCGCTCATTATATTTTTCTTCGAAAAACATAATGTGAGTTGGACAAAATAGCTAGTTAAAAATGAAGAAAATCGAACTTTTATTTTATTTATTAATCATTTTTTTTTCTTGAAAAAAAATATTAAAAAACTGATTTTATATAGTAACATTTTTCGTTAAAATTAATATTCAACTTGAAATCTTTCAGACTTGTATTTCGTACAATTGAATTACTTTGGAATTTATTTGAACATGGGGATGAAGAACAAATAAGTGAACAACTTAATTCTCGTGTTACTATAAGGTTTGTTATAGATTGTTTTTTTCATTTAATTTTATTATTGTAATTAATATTTAGTCTTTTACAAGAAGCATTTCTTGGTCAAGTAACACAAAGTCATAGTCAATATCATCGTCAATTAAGGTTTAAATTTCCTTTTTTTTTTTTTTTGGTTAAAGAAAATATATATTTGATATATTTAGAAATGATATTCTTGTCGTTTGTTCTCTCATTATTAGTCTTAAACCAGATGCTCCATTTGTTGAAACTGGTTTTGCTAAACAATTACTTCTTTTTGCTTCATATCCGGAATGTAAGTAAATTAAAGAAGAATAATTATTTGATGATAATTTACTCGTTATTTAGTACGAAGTAATAATCCATTGGTAAAAAATTTTAAATTAACAACATCACAAGAAGATTTTGAATTAAAAAAATTACTTTTCAATACAGCTGTTGTACTTAGTCGAAATCCTGCGATAAATGAAGTATGTTATCTAACAGAATATTTTTAACAAAAAAATTCGAATAAAATAAGAATGTCAATAGCTTTCAAAAAGTTGTACATGTTGCTTTTTGTAGTAGTGTGATAGTCTACTGTTCAAAGTTTTACTCAAAATATACTCAATACATGTTTATGTCTACAAAGCAAAGATGGGATCGGTTTGAAACGCTGTGAGTCGAGCCTATTCCATCTCTACTACCAACAGTTTTATTGATAATTAAATTCAAGTTTCGTGTAGTTGTAAAAGTAAAAATACAAATTAGTAAATGCAACAGAAGTAGATCTAACGACTAATTGCATGCCCATACTTTTGTGGAATTATTACGGTAGATAATCGGCCACATTCTGAAGAAATACATTCATGATGTTTGTGAACATGTCAATGAACACAGTGTTCAGTTAATTTCACAAACTTTTGAATTTTATAAAAAACAATTCTTGGAACTGTGGCAGAAAATCTTTGATTAAAGTTTGTGTAGAAAACTCAATAGATTACGGTGAAATATGTTAAATATTATCACACATGTCGACAAACAAGAATAATAAAGAGAATTTTGTTTCTCAAACAAAATGACTATTATCTTAATGAGAAATAGTCGATTAACCAAACGTTAACAAAATAAAGTTTACAAAGAAGAACACTAAAGGTCTCATGGAATTAATTTCAAAACAAAATTCTATCAAAGGACAAGTGGCGGTAAGGCCATTTTTTCGCCCCTAATATTTTGCAAAAATAATTACGTATTCAGAATCAGCATTAACTTCTGAGTAAAATGAGGTATTTTTTTCTGGAGAAAAATGTTTTTCATTTTCCACCTGGTTTTTTACACCAGTGGGGGACCCCAGAGTTGTCGGAATGNACAGTAAATTCTGTTTTTTTCTCGATTAGAGTTCGTTCTTTTCAAAATTCAACCTGAAATTCGAAATTAGCGTTAAAAATTGCATCTGATGATGTATAACTCAATAGAATTCAAGAAAAAGAAACATTCCGACAACTCTGGGGTCCCCCACTGGTGTAAAAAACCAGGTGGAAAATGAAAAACATTTTTCTCCAGAAAAAAATACCTCATTTTACTCAGAAGTGTAATGCTGATTCCGAATACGCAATTATTTTTGCAAAATATTGGGGGCGAAAAAATAGCCTTACCGCCACTTGTCCTTTTATTTTTAAATATTTTGAAGCTTGCGTGAGGAAGAAAAGTGATTCATAGGATCTGTAGAATCTATCAGCATTCAAAACAAAATCCAAGAATCTGATATTCGAGTAGATCCCAGTGGATTTTGGTGCATTCTATTAGGCCGTAGCGAACGCATATGAAACCAGTATAGAATTAAGGATCTGCTTTGTCTTCCTTAAATTTACGAATTGAGATCTTTCTACTCAAGGTAATAATTTCAAAATTCTATTATCTATAAATTTACATGAAATAAAACTTTAATGAATACCTATGAAATTATAATAACTTCATGTAAATCACTTGAACTATTAGAAAATTATTGACTATTATTTTTGTTCAGACTTCAGGAACACTTTTTTTTGTTTATTGAAAGCAATTGATTAAATAAACGATTCCATTTTAGTTAATGATTGATAGTCGAGTATTACTTGCTTTTTTATCTTATATTGAACCATTACCACGAAAAATTCAACCGGGAAATGTATTTGAATGGACATTAGCACAAACAGAAGATCTTCAATTACATGCTATTGCAGCTCTTTCAGTTCTGCTACCACGATCATTGAATGAATATTTTGAATATCATGTTGGAACGAGACTTCTGTTGTTTTATGAATGGACAATCAATGATGGTAAAAGTAATTACTTTTTTCTGTTCATTCGTAATTTTAAAGATAAATGTTTTGTTTTTTAAGATGAATATCAAAGTCAAGGGAATAGTTTTTTTGGAAAAGGTGGTCGAAATAATAAACGATCACAATTAAAATATATTTTTCGATTATTTCGTAGTCTTTTATCAACAAGAGATGAACGTGTACAAATTGATTTATGTGATCAAGGAATTATACCATCGATTACTGGTAGATGGAAAATATTTCAAATTTAAATAAAAAATTGTTTTTTTTCTTTCATAAAGGATATTTAAGACGCGTAGGACAACAAAAATCAATTCATATAGATTATGTTGATTTGGATATTATCTGTGATGGATTATTTATTTTAAGTTGTTTATGCGAATTAGATGTTCATAGAAAAGTAAGAATGTTTCAAACAAATTTTTAGAATTTTTTAAGTATAATCATATTTATATATATATATAGGAAATCTTTGGTTCTGAAGGTATTGAAATGTTAATTCAATTACTTGTGATTGAATCTCAATATGTTTGTGGTGGTCTTGGTTATCATCGTTTGCTTGTCGCAGCTATCGATTGTGTATGGTGTTGTGTTGTTGGTAGTGTTATTAATGAAGATGAATTTATTCAAAAACAGGGCGTCTTTGCTTTACTTGATTTAATTGAAGTATAAATTAATAGTTTATTTTATTTAGTAATATGTCATTCTTTCTTTTTGTCTTTGTTTTTGAATAGACAAATCCAAAATCTTTACAAAATATTATTCTTGGTTGTGTATTAGATTTAACAGAAAATACAAAATGTCTTCATTTCATCATGACATGGCAAGGACATAAACAACAACAATTTACCCATCTTCTTTGTGAATTATGGCGTGATGAAGAACATGAAATTCATGTAAAAATATAACGTGATTCTTCTTTCTTTTTATTAAATTATATTGTTTTTTTTTTTATTTATTTCAAAGGTTTCTCGAACAGAAAAAGGTGTCATAAATGATCATACAAAACCATTAATGGGTGTTCTTCAACAATCAGTTCAAATAACACCACTTGCACGTTTTGAACCATCACGATCAGTTTTAGATTTAATTGATAATATGCGATCAAAAATGTATGGATTTTTTTGTAAATTAGGTTTTAGTGAATTACCTGGTTTACATGAAGAAGATTTTGTAACATTATGTATTATTGAAAATTTTCTTGATTTTAAAATGGGTGAAATATGGCAAGAAATTGTTACTGAACTTGATATGGAAGGTGTCAAATTAGTTGCACCTGATGGTGAAGCTGTAGATACAATTTTACGAGCAACAGAAGAACGTGGCTTAGGTATGAAAACAAAAATCAAAAAAAAAAGAAACACTAATGAAATATAATTTTATAAATTTTATTTAGCTGTTGCTGCAACACAAAATTATATCTTAGAGCAATATCATAAACAAGATTTACAATTCGAAAAAGCATTTTATGATGATGTAAGAAAGAAAATAATACTATGACCATCATGGAAATATTTCTTGTTTTTTTGGTTTGTTTTTTAAGTTAGTACGAAATCATACATATAAAGAAAAACGACTTGAACAATGGAAATCATATCTTGCGCGAACATCAAAGTATCCATTACTTATGGTAAATAAATTTTCTGGAAAAAAATTCTATATTTTATTATTTTGATTTTTCTTAGGCAGCAAAAGACTATCAAAATCAAGCTATACGACACTCTCGACCAGAAGAAAAAGATTATTCAGGTTATCATACTGTACACAATTTAGAAATTCCAAATCTATCAATTACAGTAAATATATTTTCTTGGTTTTTTTCTTATAGTTTAATTGATAATTTGTCTCATTTTTTTAGGCATTTACTGGTCCATTCTTACAAATTGAGAGTACACCTGTGGAATTACTTAATAAACATCGTCAAATGGAATTAACTTCATAATAAAACATACATCATTCAAGACATTTTTCAATCTATTAACATTATTTTATTATTGAAATAAATATATGAAATAAAATTAATTGACTTGTGATTAAGAAAAAAAAATTCTTCTCTGGAAAACCTATCGATATTTCTTTTTCTTTCTTAGTTATTGATCTTATTCATGTTGTAGAAGCCGCTGATAAGGTCCTGCATCTCGACCTCACCCATCGATGAGTTGCCGGTGTAATTTTGTCGAGTCGGGTGCAAGTTAAACTTTGAAAACTATCAGATTTTTGTTGGGTTCTTTTTCTCTAATATAATTTACTACTCTCTATGTAATTTTCCACGACTAATATAAAAATTA